GTGCAGTCAGAAGACGCCTGGCTCTGGTGGCCTCGTCGATATCCCTGTCAATGTCTGTGTTGCCGCTCTTGGTGAGGCCGAGTGCAACCAGAGCTCTCCTGTCACCACCACCACCGCCAAGACCGCGTCTTCCACTGGCGTCATCTCTACCGGCACTGCTTCGTCTGTCTCCACTGGCACTTCCACTCCGTCTTCCAACGGCTCTGCTGCTCCGTCCACTGAGCCTACTGCTTCCGAAAGCACTACTCCTGCCGGCTCCGCTACGACCGCCCCTGCTACCACCGGCTCTGACTCTGTCACCCTGACCACCACGACCGTTTTCACCACCTCCCTCATCACCGTCACCCACTGCGCTCCCACGGTGACTAACTGCCCTGCCTCGTCCACTGTTACCACCCACACCGTTGTCCCCGTCACCACTGTCATCTGCCCCGGCGAAAGCGCTTCCACTGGTGTTCCTACGGGCCCGGCCACCGGCACTCCTGTTGCCCCCGGTGGCGCTACTACCTTCACCACCATCCCTGGCAAGCCCAGCGGCTCTGTTCCCAGCGGCAACCCCAACCCGAGCGGTCCCGCCTCGAACCCTTCGGGTGCTGTCCCCAGCGGCTCTAAGCCCAGCGGCCCTGCCCCCAACCCCTCCGGTGCTGTCCCTAGCGGCCCTGCCCCCAACCCCTCCGGTGCTGTTCCTAGCGGCTCTAAGCCCAGCGGCCCGGCCCCCAACCCCTCGGGCGCTGTCCCTACTGGTCCTGCTCAGCCTAGCGGTCCTGGTGCCAACCCCAGCGGCTCCGTGCCCAGCGGTCCTTCCAATCCTAGCCACCCCGGTGCCAACCCGAGTGGCTCTGTTCCCGGCGGCAACCCCTCCAGCCCTGTTCCTACCGGTGCTTCCAAGCCTGGTAACCCTGGTGGTGCTCACCCCACGGGCGTGGTCCCTACCGGTCCCTCCAAGCCCAGTGCTCCGGGTGCCGCCAAACCCACGGGCGCGGTCCCTAGTGGTCCTTCCAAGCCCGGCAACCCCGGTGCCAACCCGTCGGGTGCTGTTCCCAGCGGTCCTTCGAACCCTGGTCCCAGCAGCCCTGTTACTGCCGGTGCTGGCCGCGTTGAGCTTTCCATTGCCGCCTTCCTTGGCATGGCCCTTCTTCTGTAAATGGTCTTTGCATTCGCATAGACTTCATCATCTAACTGTATATCAGTAAAAAATATTTACATTATGTAGAGGCTATTTATATCGATAATAGAAGTTTTTTGTTTTCCCCTCGTCCTCCCATACATTTTGTTTGTGAAGAATTTGTCCTCCTTGCCAGTCTGTCTTCAGCTGAGGACCACATGACGTTGGAAGACTATTGCCTTCGGTGCGCAATATAGCGTAAAAGGTTTCATAAATTGTTTATCCAATGGCGCTCCAAGACCTTCCAGATGCTGATAAAATAGAACACAAGTATCTAATCGGGCATTCCGTCGCTGCTACTGGCCTGTAAGAGTACAAGGCCGCGTGGTATTTTATCTGATGTCACCACTTGTTGCCTTGTTATTTTTCATATATATATGAATCAACTAGGCGTACTGGTTGGCGAGGCATAGAACAGTCTGACTCTCCAGTCTACTTTCCGATTCTGATGTCCCCTCTATCAAGGAATTGCAAGACTTCTGGGTCAGCGGTGTTCCTTGGCATCAAGATTCTGAAGCCAAGTAATTGGTTGTGTGCTGAAAAGACTACGGGCAACCTCTTACCTTGTGAACTTGTCTCAATGGTGGAGGCGCGCTCAATTGTCCTGCCGTGGGTCGCACTCTATCGTAGTCATGAATTGCCACACAGATACAAGACAAAGTTGTGCGTATTACCAATAAACTTGATGAATGCAATGCTAGGTTACATGCGTGCGCTATACTAACGGCAACCTCGCCTGAATGGAAAATATGCATCGACAATCCCGTGTGTCATACGTGTCGATGTCTTGGCTTCGGAACTTCAACCTCGTACCAATGGGACACAATGATGACCTTAGTCGAAAATGTAGAGGCGAAAACAGGGAAATTAAGAGAAGCTTGATGTTAAATCAAAATGCCAAATCTGAATAACATTCGTGCCACATATATAAGGTTGCGTACCGCGCGACACGGCCTACAACCTTGGACAACCACTCGCTTCTGGCAAGCTATATTTCTTCATTTACCAGTTCAACCAGATACTTGTCAGAAATCGGCTCAAGAAAATAACACCTGTCAAAATGACGAATGTTGGAATCATTGGAGCTGGCCATGCTGGATGTGCACTCGCTTTCAACCTCTCTGCGCGAGGTAATGAGGTCACCCTTAGAACCATGGCGGGTCATCCTGGGAACACCTCAAAGATTCTCGGAAACAATGGCTATCTAATCGCCACTGGGCTGTTGAATGGACGTGTTTCTGTTAAAGTTGGGCACGGACTCTCGCAGCTCACAGAATCGATTCTTTTGATTGCCATTCCATCAACAGGCATCGACCAGGTCGTTTGTGAGCTCGCCGGACACGACCTGAGCGACAAGCTGCTCATCTTCATCACCGGAAACTCTGCCGCAATCAAAGCTCATATGGCCACAAACGCAAAAGCTGTCATGGAAACGGCCACTTCTCCGTATAGTTCTCGCGTCAGTGCTGACGGAAGCGTCAGTTTTCGGGGCATCAAGAAACGCTTGGCGCTGGGCGTCCTTGCTACCGAATTTCAACAAGAGGACAGGGATAAAGTTGCTGCGATTTTCCCAATGCCTGTTGAATGGTGCTCGAATATCTTGGAGACCTTTTTTTCAGCTCTGAATGGCATCGTGCACGTGCCGACGGCCCTGATGAACATGGGCTGGATGGAGACGACCAAGGGCGACTTTTACTTTTACCGCCAAGGCATGAGCCCTAGTGTATGCAGCGTCATTGAAGCGCTGGATAAGGAGAGACTGGCTGTCGCGGCAGCGTATAATGTGCATCTCCGGTCGGTAGCAGAGACGTACAATGCCAACTATGGAACGAATGAGACCACGCTTCGAGACTTTGTCGCCAAGACGCCGGCACATAATTCGACCAAGGGAGCGCAGAAGCGGTTCATCACGCAGGATGTCCCGCACTGGCTGGTGCTCTGCTCTGAACTTGGCATGCGGGCCGGCGTTTCCACCACTTCCATCGACACCATGATCGACTTGGCGTCGATTCTTACAGGCACAGACTTTAGGTCTACGGGAAACACACTCAAGTCGCTGGGTCTCGAGAATGCGACGGTTGAGGAGGTCAGCAGAGCTTTCCGAGGTGGCGACATGTGTGTAGCGCCCGTGCAGGCTAAGAAGGCCAAGGAGGCCAAGCTTCAGCGCCTCGCCGTCTTGTGATGCCAAGACTTTGCCAAGTTATGACATGTCGATACATGACTTACGAAAGAACAAAGATCAAGGCCTCCTTTTAGCTCCTATTCAAATTTGTTTATAAAAGTGCCAGTGTGCTGACATGGAGTGCTGATCGTGTTTCCCCCAGTGACGCTCGCTGAGAGGTGATGCTATTGCGCAAAACAGCTCACTACTGGAACTTGTCGCGCAATCCAGGAATCTTCACTGACGATATCATGTGTAACAATGACAAGACTTTGTATGCCCAGAATTCCATCGCCACAAGGTATGCTTGCTGACTAGAGCGCCCGTGTCTTGTTGCAAACTCACACAGCATTCTGTCCCTTGGCACTTTGACGTTACCTACTAGACACAGCTTCAACAAGCTTCTTTTCCTTGCGTGCTCGAGAAACCACAGACTGGTGGCGACACGCATTTGGCCGAAGATGCTTAGGCCCAGAACTGTCTGAGCTTGGCTATGCAGGTGCGACTTCACGGCCTACGTGCCATGCACTCCCGCTGGAGTCAAGCCAACGTCAGTCAAGCTCGTGGCGGTGGTCTTCGGCGGGAGCCTGTCGTCAAGCCCCATTGTACTGTGTCAACGCGCTTTTTGAGAGGCGAAAAGTTTTGTCTATCAATCCGCAGTAGAAGTGTGACCCCCACGAGCCTCGTTCAGGTCACTGCCTGTGAACTCGATCAAATCTCTCCAGCTACTTGGCAAAATCCCGGATTTCAAGATGAAAAAGGCGCAATGATGCTGAGATGTCTTCAAGATTGCATTGCTATGGGCGCAAATTTTCACGAGTGTGCTGAATAGTGAGAAATGAATGGCGACACTGCTCGAGACAATCGCAACATGGCCCAAACCACGATTATTATTGGACAAACACCCAAGACCTATAGTTGAATACATGGTCTTGAAAAGCTTAGTTTGTGTTGCATCGAAGGCAGATCTATGTAGATCGTTGCCGCTGTGAAACCTTTGACGTGCTCTTTACCTGCTGACCTGGCTGGGCGTGCAAAAAGGTTTCTGTTCCCCTTGGCTGTCGCGCAAGTCACACGCGTCTGAGTTTGCGCTGAATTATTGCTAATATGCAATCTTTAGCAATGCGCACATATGCGCAACGTCAACGCATGTCTGTGGTGAAGGTCGACTGCGGCAGGGAGCCAAGAAGATGCATCGCCTCCATTATCGGCTGTCGCCGCCTCGCAGTGAAACTCATCATGAGAATTACGCAATAGTCAGCCCGAAATCCTAAAGTCGTGCCTTCGTGCACAGCATGCGGTGACGTGGCAAACAAAACGAGCCTTGATTTCTACACCATTGCACACGCTTGGCGATGCTTTGAAGAAGCTTGGCTAGAGTATGGCAAGTTAACCTTACAAGAAAATGTGGTAGCCAAGTTTTGCCATGAAGATACAAAGTAAGCTGTGTTCGTGGACCACAAGTGGTGAACCAACCATCACAACCAACGCCACTGATCGACGCGTAGTAGCTTGGAAGCTTGATCTGAAACGTATGACTTAGTTTTGTGGTAGGGCTTCCAAGACATCTATATCGAATCTTGGAATTCCATGCAAGTTTGAGATACAAGTGAGACTTGGCACAAGAATGATGTGCTGATCTCAGCCAGGTTGTTGCTAGGCTGAGCGGCTTAGTTGCCCGAAAGCTTGCAAGTTAGTTATGGCTTGCATCCAAGGCAGCAACACTGGCCAAAGTCTTGGCCGAGTACGCCACGCAGTCAATTTGTCTTGAAAATCTCTGGTTGTGATCAAAAAGTGTGATGCGTGGAGCATTCGGTTCCGAAGCCGGCTGGCTTCTGGCTTCGGTCGCGACTGCCGGGATGGGAATCCCGCCCACAATAGATTGATTGAAGATTAACCTCAGCCTCGAACAGTTTAGTCACTACTTAGTGCACTTCAAGCGGGCTCTTGGCCATGAAAGCCACTAGCATGTTGGAGTCGTTACCTGCAGGCCGTCTCATGAGACGTGCACGAACTGGCATTTGCAAAGCCGCGGATTTCATGTGGAAATGGTCGGTGCCCTACAAGAACAGAAATCGGCCTCAAGACGATGATTATGCAGCCATATGGAAAACGAATCTTGAAGAGGCGTACATACGCGCGGCCTTGCACGGCGCTTTGCCAGACATTGCACTCGATCAATTGCCTGCAGAGGAGGAGCACATACGGCAGCTCATACGGCAGAGATTCACCTCGCTGGGTGACATGCAAGATATGAAAAGCGAGAAACAAGACCAGAAGAAGATCTGGAATGGGGTGCCCGAGGAAGCATGGCCGAATGTTCCCGAAAATATACGCCATGTGCTGGCAGCCGCCAATGCAAAAAATATGGAAAATAAGCTGCAATTTCTCGGCGAAGAAGAATATCATCCCTCACAAGGCCTAGCCGCCATACTGCGACACAGATCTGGGGTCAATAAGACTTTTAGAATCTGGAGACGCGGATTTGCCGCTGGCGTGGGCCGCACAGAGCGAATCTGTGTCAACATTTTCCTTCTTTTTCTCATCTTTTGCTCCGTGTATCCAAACGTTGCGGCCGGATTTCTTGACGAGCGATCTTACAATCAGCGCTCGATAGGCAGCAGAATCATGACACTGTTCCAGCTTTTCTTTCTCTGGACGTTTCCGTACCACACTCTGTGGCTGCTCTACAACTGGAGCGTCGAGAGACTCTTGGGAGGCCTGGTCGGAAGCACCGTGTACGCATGCATTGCCATCTTTCCCGCTGTAAAGAAGGCCAATGAAGCGTCATGGTTTCGTACCATGGTCTTGGTTCTGACCATACTCTGGCAAATGGGCGTTCAGTTCTTCGCTACGGTGCGCAACTACATTGGGCGGCTCTTGACGCGACATCAGATGAGCAGCATGCGACGAAGCGGCAAAAACGGAGAAACGTACTGGAATTCTGTTGACAAAGCTATTCAGCACGAGCTCATCTCGCTCAAAGCACACATCGAGCAGCATTCGAAGGCTGGTGCTGTTCCACAGCCGTGGCAAGACGTTCCGATTAAAGTACGAGTGGAGAGATATATTCGATTCACGTGCTGCTTTGACGTTGGCCGCGGTGCTGATCAACTAATTGGCCTTTTGAAAGACGACATGGAGAGCATTGTGAACATCTATGAGGACTACCGCTCGACTGCAAAAGGTCTCTCTGATGAAGAAGCGCCAAAAGAGCATGTCAGGGATCACATCGAACCACGACTTCCTAAGCTCATGCTGGTTATTTTCGACATTGTCATCTTTGCCTACGTCTGCTTCTCATTCTGGTCGCAGCCCTTTACCTTCAACACGGTGGCGGCATACAGCACCGTTGTGGTCGTCAAGCAAAGCATCGTTCTCTGCAAGCGCTACCAGACTGTAGCGAATGCTAGCAGGCTGTTCACGAACATGGTCGCGTTCAACATTTGGGGTATTTTCTTGGTATCCTTGCCTGTCACAATTGACAAGAATGTGCTTCAGGATAATGGTAATTGGGTAGGACTTACCTTGGCCATGATTGTTGCAACAAATTTCTTGACTGAACCGATTGCTCCTTTGTTCCTTTTGATGATGGAGAAAATCATGGCTGGCGCAAAAGGCGCTTGAGAAGAATTAAAGCGAGCATTTGTGCTGGATGTTTGCCCTATGCTAGATAAGATCGAGAATAGCAATAGTATGGCAACAGAGGAACACTATAACGAGGAAGAGATTTAGCAAGAGATAATGAAAGAATTTGATTTTGCTCTCTGAATATGGCGTTCCAGTGAGCCCTTAACGAGTCCTCATTCAAGTGGTGACCGAAACAAAGGGCCCTGTTTACATGGCTGGCCTTGCAAAAGGCTTCGAGATTTGACATATTTTTCACCGGCCTACCTACTTCAATTTGTTTCCTTTGATTTTATTATTTCCTATCGCATTTTTATTTTATTTTTTGATTAGTATTTCTAACCTTCTTCCTCTTTTCACCTTTGTCTCGGAAGTGCGCTAGTCCTGATTTGGGAAGCACTCTCCCAGGGGACAGCTTGTCACAGTTCGAGGGGTCCATTACTGAAGTCTAGTTCTATCATCCTCGTTGTCGCCATCGATTCAATTCAGGCTGGCAAGACTGCAGAGCTGTGACATTTCTGCAGATGCTTCATTCCTAATTTTATTCTATTCTACTGACCTCTTAGAGCCTGCCGCACGCTGACGCGAGCTCGTCACAATGGTGCTGCGCTCGCAATGGACTGCGCTGCTCATTGCCTTCGGCATTCTAATGTGCCTTGTGATGCCTGGAGGTAAGTTGTTTGGCTTGTATCTATACACCTTCTGCTGATTCACAAAAACTAGCATCTGTCAAGGAACACGACTTCAAGAAATGCGACCAATCGGGCTTCTGCAAGCGTAACCGAGCATATGCCGACAAAGCCACTACCGAAGGTTCACGGTGGCAGTCGCCCTACACAGTCCAGCCTTCTTCCGTATCGTTCAAGGATGGCCAGCTCCATGCTGTCATTCACAAGACCATCAATGCCAATGGCGACACCGTCAACCTCCCGATTACAGTCTCATTTCTCAAGTCTGGGAATGCCCGCGTAACGGTCGACGAAGAACGACGACAGAAGCAGGACATTGAGCTGCGCCACGATAGTAAAGTCAGAAAGGAGAGATACAATGAAGCTGAAAAGTGGGTTCTTGTCGGTGGCCTAGCTCTCGACAAGGATGCCAAAGTGTCTCACCAGGACGATGCACAAACAAACGTTCAGTACGGCAAGGAGGGCAACCTGGAAGCTGCCATCAAGTACTCGCCCCTCGAGATCGACTTCCGACGTGATGGCGTATCCCACATCCGATTCAATGATCGTGGGCTTTTCAATGTGGAGCACTGGCGTCCCAAGATCGAAAGGGAAGAGGGCCAAGAAGAAAAGGATAGCGAGGACGAATCAACTTGGTGGGACGAAACCTTTGGAGGCAACACCGACTCCAAGCCTCGGGGTCCCGAAAGCATTGCCCTCGACATTTCGTTTCTCGGATACGAGCATGTCTTTGGTATTCCCGAGCACACTGGCTCTCTGTCACTGAAGCAGACACGTGGTGGGAGCGGCAACCACAATGAACCCTACCGAATGTACAACTCTGACGTGTTCGAGTATGTCCTGGACAGCCCAATGACCTTGTACGGATCCATTCCATTCATGCAAGCTCACAAGAAGGACTCTACTGTCGGTGTCTTCTGGCTTAATGCTGCTGAGACCTGGGTTGACATTGTCAAGTCCAAGGCCGCCACCAATCCTTTGACGCTTGGAAAGACTGGCAAGACCAATACCGAGACGCATTGGATCTCCGAAAGTGGGCTGATCGATGTCTTTGTGTTCCTTGGCCCGACCCCCCAGGATGTGACTCGAACATACGGCGAACTGACCGGCTATTCTGCTATGCCTCAAGAGTTCGCCATTGGCTACCACCAGTGTCGATGGAACTACATTTCCGACGACGATGTGAAGGATGTTGACCGCAAGATGGACAAGTACAAGATCCCCTACGACGTCATCTGGCTGGATATTGAGTATCTCGATGATAGAAAATACTTTACCTGGGATCCCCATTCGTTCGCTGACCCCACGGGCATGGGCAAGCAGCTGGACGATCACTCTAGACAACTTGTCATCATTGTCGATCCGCATATCAAGAAGCTGGAAGGCTACTCCATCTACGACGAACTCAGCTCACAGGATTTGGCTGTCTACGACAAGGAGGGCAAACCCTACGAAGGATGGTGCTGGCCTGGCTCTTCCAACTGGGTCGACTGCTTCAACCCCAAAGCTATCGAGTGGTGGAAGACGCTGTACAAGTATGATAAATTTGCAGGAACCGCAGAGAACACTTTTATCTGGAACGACATGAATGAGCCGTCTGTTTTCAACGGCCCTGAAACAACCATGCCCAAGGACAACATTCACTTTGGTCAGTGGGAGCACCGTGATATTCATAATATTAACGGGCTCACCTTCCACAACGCAACATTTGAGGCTCTGAAGACGAGAAAGAAAGGCGAACTGCGCCGTCCTTTTGTACTGACTCGTTCATTCTACTCCGGTTCGCAGCGTCTTGGAGCTATGTGGACTGGTGATAACCAAGCTACATGGGAGCATCTTGCTGCTTCGATCCCCATGGTACTGAACCAGGGTATCTCGGGATTCCCCTTTGCTGGCGCTGACGTTGGCGGCTTCTTTGGCAACCCTTCCAAGGATCTCATGGCACGCTGGTACCAGGCCGGTGCCTTTTACCCTTTCTACCGCGGACACGCCCACATTGACTCTCGTCGCCGCGAGCCGTACTTGCTCGGGGAGCCTTACACTGGCATTCTAACGCAGGCCTTGAGACTGCGATATGCCCTTCTTCCCTCTTGGTACACTGCCTTCTTCCAGGCCAACCGCGATGGCAGCCCCATTGTCCGCCCCATGTACTGGACTCACCCTTCAGAGGAGGCGGGCTTTGCTATTGACGACCAGCTGTTTGTTGGCTCGACGGGTATCCTCGTGAAACCCATTGTCGAGGAAAACAAGTTCTCGACTGATATTTGGATTCCGGATGAAGAAGTATACTATGACTACACCACCTACGATGTAGTCAACACGCAAAAATCCAAGCGTGTCACGATCGCCGCTGCTATTGACCAGATCCCGATGCTGATGCGTGGTGGCCACGTGTTTGCTCGTCGCGATATTCCTCGACGATCTGCTCTGGCAATGAAGTACGACGACTACACACTCGTCGTGTCTGTATCCAGGGACGCCACGGCCACGGGCGAGCTGTATGCCGACGACGGCGACACGTTTGAACACGAAAAGGGTCAGTACATCTACCGCAAATTCAGCCTCGACAAGGACGGCATGAGATCGGTCGATGCAGAGGGCCGAAGCGCCAAGTCTGTCAAGGCGGGTGCTTGGCTCAAGGAGCAGAGCCGGGTGCACATCGACAAGATTGTTATTGTGGGTGCGACGGACGCGTGGAACAGGAAGGAGGCTGAGATCGAATCGGACGGTAAGACTTGGACGGTGCCGGTAGACTACCACGAGGCGGCCAAGGGCCGAGCTGCGTACGCGGTCGTGGGCCGCGTTGGGGCTAAGATCAACAGCGACTGGAGCATCAAGCTGGCATAGATGTGGGTAAAAGAACAGCCGTGACTGGAGAGAAGCTAGAGACAGGTGTAAAAATAGACACAATTTAGAGCACAAGACTATGTCCGTAAAGTGTGTACTGTAATATACATCAAGTTGTAGTTCACTCGTCGGGTTGACCAAGTGTAATAAGATTTGCTGCTGCTACTGCAGCACACCTGCATGTACTTGCCACAAGGCTGCCCTGAATATATTTTATTAGAAGTCATCTAGATCATCGTGAGTTCTAGAAATCGAGTACTATCCGCATTTCTCGAATGCCTTTTCTGACTAACTGCGAACAGTGACACTGATCAATGATCGTTGTCATTAATGACCCGGGTCGAAAACTTTCGTAAGGTGCACACGAAATAGCTTCGGGTTTAATAATCGGAAAAGCCACATTTTTGGCCACATTTCTACTGGCCCTGAATGGCCTTTGAAGCTCTCAAGCAGCAGTTCCGACCTGACGAAGAGTTTAAACAGAGAGTCAAAGTCACATTCTGACTTGGGCGTCATCAGAAGACCTTTATGTAATCGAAACAACGAGTTGATTACTTCAGGCCTTACAAAGCCATTTGCGCAGCTTGGAATTTGGTAATAGTGTTGACTTGAGCTTATTTCCTAACAATCACCGCCACCCCTTCCGCTCCTAGAAAGATGCAGTCTTGTTTTTTTCTTTTTCAAAGAATAAAAAAGAATTTGGTCGCCGAATGGACGATGCCTGGATAAACGGCCGACACGTCAGACGTTCGGATGTTATTCACGATGAACGCCATCTTCTGCCCTGTGTTCGACTTTCCGGGCGGCGATTTTCGCAGGGCCATCCACACACCATTTCTCCTGGGCGCCATGACTGCTTGCGCGTTTGGCAATAGGGGACCTGGTGGGGCGATAACGATGTCGAGCACGACCTGGTACGGTGAGTGGTCAATTAGAGCGTCAAATTCGAACTCGTCACTGGCTATTGATGAAGAATTATGAATACGGGCGTGACAAAGAAAATTGCGTGTTGGTGAACAAAGAGTTTTCTTTTTTTTTTTTTTCTTCGTGACAGAGTTTGGTTGGTTCAAGGCAGCCAAGCAACAACTTGGCAAAAAGATCAAGGCGGTGAAAGTACCAGTCGAGGACTCACAGGGGCTTGCCAGGCACACCAGGCTTCTGAAAATTGGATCGCCTAATAGAGCTACTCCACCAACAACCCACTGAAGCCCACTGAAGCCCACTGAAGCCCACTAGTGACGACTCTCTTCCAGGACCTCTCCCAAGACAAAGGAAGGATAACCTGTCCGCGCTGCCGCGTCACCGTACTCAGGATTGTACAACCACTCACCCTGAATGCATTGCGACCCTGAACCACAAATACCACCCTCCGACGCCTCCGGTTCGCCGCCAACAAGACCAAGACAAAACCGTCAGACCCTTTAGCAGGTTTTTACTCATGTCTTGTGGACCGTGCAGTGTGACAGAAATAGCACAAACCAAGTCCGTTGTGCTCGGTATTCCCAAACTGGTTGTTCCGGCCTCTGCCAGCTGCCTCTCTCTTTTTCCTTTGTTTGTAGCTTAAGTTTCGGTGCATCCCCGAACTCAACAATGCTGTCGAAACTTGTCCTTTTTTGCGTTTTCTTCTCTTCTACTCCCATCCTCCTACAATTAATCACTGTTTTTTCCTTAAAACATTCGTTCATCTGCGGTTTCTCCTAGTTCCTTAGTCCACATACAAGCATCGCTCTGTTAGCTCGAACCTTGTCCTGTTGTCGAACCGTTTTCTCAACCTCAAGCCACTGACTGCTTCTGCATTTCGTCACCAAGCTCCACCACAGCCAAGCGGTTCAAACGACAACGTTGGGGACCATCGATCGGCCGATTGATGTCAGAGAAACAAAATCTGCATCCTTCTCTGTTCATGTCCTAATATTCTGACATTTACCATCATTCTTTCAGCCTCGTCTTATTTGAAGCTGCGCCGCTTATACCTTTACGTCGGCATTGTCTGAGAAAGCCCTCCCAAGTAGCCGGTTCTGCAAAGGAGTCTTTTTAACGCTTTAATATTTACTGCTAGCGACCGAGAACTCCGGCGCATAAGATGGCCGGTTTTGCTCCTCCCCGTCCTCCCACGGACCGATACAACTCGGTTGAGGACTATCACAATCATGTCTCGGTGCAAACCTCCAATGACACACTTGACGAAGGCGACCATCACAACGAGAAGCAACCCATGTCGCCCAATCGCCATGACGACATGACACAGCTCAACGACGACCTCGAGCTTCTCCGCGCCGAGCAGCTCATCTCCAACCAGGAACACGACCTTGAATTGCAAAGGTCGCGCTCTCGCAACCGCACACACCACCCCGTACCCGAAGACGCCTTCAACCAGCTCGACACGACCCATGGCCCAGAGAAGAAACGCAACGAGGACGCCAGCCTTTACAAGCTTTGGGCCTTTTTGAAGAAGTTCCCCCGCTTCATCCGTTACTTTGTCTACATGCTGCCCGTTGCCCTGCTCCTCCTGCTGCCCGTGCTACTGGGTGCCTTTGCCGTCGACAAGAGGCGCCACGCCGTGGGCGGAAATGGTGGTGTTGATTTGATGTGGTTTGGCATCTGGCTCGAAATTGTGTGGTGCTCTCTCTGGGTGTCTCGAATGGTTACCAATTTGCTGCCTCCCATCATGCAGGCCGTCTGCAAGATGGGTGGCTCAACCACCCCGAAAAAGTGGAAGGATGTCGGGTCTCAACTGGAGCTGCATGCTGCCATGTTTCTCTGGTTCCTGGCCATTCTCATCTCCTTCAAACCCACCACGGCGCAGAAAAGAGTTGAACCCATCGGTGGCGCTGATAAGGCTGACTCGCAAAAATGGATCGACATTGTCAACAAGGTCATTATTGCCCTTTTTGTCCTCTTTACACTCAATTTCATTGAGAAGATTATTCTCCAGTGGATCGCCACCTCGTTTCACCAGCGCACCTACGCCACCCGCATTGAGAACAACAAGGGCGACATCCGGCAGATTGTCCAGCTGTTTGAGCATGCCAAGTCCAAGCTCGAAGACACCGACACGTTTCTCAAGGGCGAGAATCCGCGCGTTAGCGGCACACAGACGCCAATGCGCATTTTTCATGAAAACGCCCGCAACGTCCTGGGCAAGGTCGGCTACGTCGCCGGCAAGGTCGGTAACGACTTGATTGGCCGCAAGGTCAATGGCAACCAGCCACGCAAGGTCGTCACCGAGTTGCTGCGCAACACGACCTCTGCCTATACGCTGGCGCGCCTCATCTATCGTAGTTTGGTCCGCCCGGACCGAGATACCGTTCACATGGAGGACATTCGAGAAGTCTTCGCCACCGACGAGGAAGCCGATGCCGCTTTCATGGTGTTTGACAAGGATCTCAATGGCGACATTTCTTGCCAAGAGTTTGAGCAGGTTTGCAATGAAATTCACCTCGAGAAGAAGGCCATTGCTGCCTCGCTCAAGGATCTTGACTCTGTTATCCGAAAGCTTGACAAGGTCTTTCTTTTCATCATTGTCATCATCTCCATCATTGTCTTCATTTCCATCCTGTCAGGCTCTGCCGCCGCAGGCCTTGCCTCAGCTAGTACTTCTGTTCTTGGTCTTGCTTGGGTGCTTCAAGCCACGGCGCAAGAGTTTCTCCAGTCCATCATTTTCGTCTTTGTCAAGCATCCGTTCGATGTTGGCGATCGTGTGACGATTTACGGCTCCACAGGTGACAAAATGACTGGTGACGACTACTACGTCACCGAAATTTCGCTCCTGTATACCGAATTCAAGAAGATGCAAGGCCACATTGTGCAGGCCCCCAACTCTGTGCTCAACAACCTCTTCATTTTAAACCAGAGACGGTCCAACGGTCTCGCGGACCCTGTTCCTCTGATTATGCGTTTTGGTACTCCAGTCGAGAAAATCGACGAGCTCAAGGACCGCATGCGCAGCTTTTGCCTCCAGAACAAGCGCGACTACCAGGCTACTATTATTTCGGAAATGGTATCCATCGATCAATTGCGCTCATGCACGATGAACATCATCTTCTTCCACAAAACCAACTTTCAGAACGAACTCCTGCGTCTCAACCGCCACAACAGATTTGTCACGGAGCTTATGGCCCAGATGATTGAGGTCGGAATCCAGGCTCCCATGCGCATCGAACCCGGTGGTAGCCGCGACACCCCCATGTACTGGTCCAACATGCCGGCCCCTCCCGCCTACGGCAAGGAACACGAGGGTGAGAACCCTAGCGGTGACGACCGTCCTAAGCCGTCTTTGGGGCCGCATCGCAAGATGTCCATCCAGAGATCGCACAGTACTCAGCGTGAAATGACCATTATGGAGGAAGAGGCTGCTCTAACCAGTTTCGGCGATGTCTTTGAAAGCCGCCGTGACCAGACCCTCGCACGCAGAATGGCGTCGATTCGCGAAAAAGAAAAGGCTGAAAAGGCATCAGAGGGTGCCGAGGCGGAACCGCGCGGGTCGACGACGTCGGCGGCGGTTCACAGATCCTCAACAGAATCGCACCGAGCGCGTCTGTTTTCGCGTCCGCGACGCGATACAACAACCACTCGCCATGAAAATGAAATGGTGTAGCAGGGATGAATATTATGACGAATAAGATATAGAAGGCCCCAAATTATTGAATCGGGAAATATTATAGCATTATAGACTTGGTATGGGTTATTGATACATGTGGGGGGGGAAACGCGATGAACACCTGCGGGGGGTGCTGCGCATAGGCAGCGATTTTGATCAAATAAAGGTGAACCTACAAAGTACCACGTTCGATACAGGCATGTGCGCGGTGCATGATGCAAAGTATTTTTGCTCGCAGTTTCATCCCATCTTGAGACGAATGCGTCCCGAACCGGCAAGGTCGAGCGGCACGGGACACGGAGAGAAGAACTCAACATTTTAAGGTTACCTTAGTTGGTGCGCTCGACTTGGGCGGGAATGTGAACGTCACCCGCAGCACCTTTTCGACAGTTTGTACAATGGAAGGCGACAAGTGCTCGATCATTTGGCACCTAGGTAATAATCAAGATGCACGTAAGCGAACCATGGCAGCCTGGCGGGGATCATGGCTTGCGGCGCACGGCTGAAAGGAGCTCAGCTGCCCCCTCAGCCCTCTTTGACATTTTGATCATCTCTTGACTTTGTTGCCCTGCTTTCCCTAGTCTAAGCAGCTGCGGGTTTGTTTGCCATCGCTTTGAGCCTGCCATCTATTTTCGCAGCATTTCTCCGGCAACGTTATAGGAGCCATCATTCCGAAGCTATGCGACGATAGGTCGCTGTCGCTCTTCGCGCCGCCCAAACGGCCAACCACCCAACAAAAGGGACCCTGATGTACCCCAGACAAGGCCGCGATCCACAAAGAACTCTGCGAAACGACAAGCTTCCCCTCCAAAGAGAAAACCGTCTTCGAGAACAGCTGTATACTACGGATACTCGTTTGTTTCAGAAACAGAGCTCAGGTCCTGCTCAGAGCGCGCGATGCCAGCGGCAGGCCTCGCCACAGACCTCCCGGACGGCTGGGAGTGGGACTATGACGGCACGCGCTGGTTCTACACCTTCAAAGCCAATGGCCACGTACAGTACCATTTCCCCTCGGACGGCGACGAGTTCCCCGACTTTGTGGGCGTTGTCCCGGCGGCGCTTGAGCCTGAGGAGCGGCTCGCCTCGCACCAGCAGGTGAAACGTGCGACCGGCGCCCCTCCGGAAAGGAAGAAGAAGAATAGTAAAGATGGTAGGGGCAACAGGATGACGGCGACGACGCCGCGCCCGGTGGGTATCGAATGGGACGGGGATGTAGGCGCGGGGAGCAGTGAGGAGGAGGAGGAGGAGGAGGAGGGAGAGGGGGTTGGGAGTCGAGTGGTGTTTGAGCCAGAGAATCTCATGTTTCTAGGACCGCAGACGTATGCGGAGGTGAGCCCGCTGATTGAGGAGGAGGAGGAAGCGGCGAAGAGAACGGTGGTAGGGGATGAAGAGGCGGTGGTGAGCCCGGCGAAGACGATGGAAAAGGACACGCCGGCAACGAGTAGCACGGAGGAAGGAAGCAAGGAGGGTGAGAATGGGAATGGGGTTGTGGCAGAAGCTACAACGGCACTGATAACGCCTAAAGTGAAGAACAAGAAGCCGCTGGCAAAGAAAGAGGAATCTGTGGTAGCTCAGGAAGCGAAATCAGCCGAGGAACTTACAAAGTCACTGGCAACGCAGCAGTCAGCTTGTGCAGCAGATCCTACCGCGCAGCAAGATCCATCTCTCGACAGAGAAGCGGCCGCGCCGTCATCAGCACTGCCGACCACATCACCGCCGCCGGGCTCGACGCACGCCTCGGCCGTCGAGCTACCCGTTCCCAAACCGCCGCCGTTCAACCCCGTCGGCATCATTGCCGAGATGCCCACCGGGGATACACCACGATCGCACATTGAGCTGAATCCGATCCCCGTGGAGATCATGGATGCCTCGGTACTGGCGCCCATCGAGACGGCACCGTCATTGGGTGTTGCTGAGCTGTCGGGGCAGGGCAGGGCTCCGGCGGCCGCAGTGGTGAAGCAGAAGCAGCAGATACAGAAAGGCGTTGGTATAACCAGACTACCACCAATGCAGATGAAGATTAAGAGGAAGCCGACGGATCCCAACGCCTCGATCCCCTCGCCCATGTCGGCGTCGTCTTCGGCTCTCATATCTCCGTCTGCCGTCTCTCAGCTCTCTGTCGCCTCGTCACCGCCCGCGTCCCTGCCGGCGCCTGTTGCGACGCAGTACAAGCCGTGGACGCCAGTGTCGCCGCTGCTGCGCGCGGACACGGAGCCCGCTGTGCCGCGTCCTGCCATGATGACGGCGCAGCAGCAGCGCGCAATGACGGCGCCGCCGTCGCCCGTGGCGAATCCGCATCTAAGCCATGCGCCATCGGTGCTACGGCCGGCGGGCCGGCAGTCGCGTCAGTCGACGAGCGTGTCACCGGAGCGCAAGGGTGGCGGAAGCGAGACGAGAAATGGCGGAAGCAGAATATCAACAGCTCCGGCGGAAGAACCTGTGCAGAGTGGGACAGTGAGGGGAGCATCGCCGCAGAATGTGTCGGCGCCCGGTACGCTGGAGGGGCAGATGCGACCACTGGGACAAGCACAGCCTCCGAATTCGACATCCCAGCGAGGAGAAATGACGGCACGGCCACATATGCAGTTGCAGGGACAAGGGCCACCGCAGGAAGTATCGTCACAGCCGATCCAAACACCCCAGCCAGTCCAGATGCCGACGGGGCAGATGCCGCCGGGCCAGATGCCGCCGGGCCAGATGCCGCCGGGCCAGATGCCGCCGGGCCAGATGCCACTACAAGACCATCGTCGACCTGTGAGCATGGCGCCTGGCCAGCACCCTCCTGTGCCGATACCACAGCCCTACAACCAGTACCACAACCAGCCTCACCGAATCAGCCAGCATCCCGGACCACCGTGGCTAGCTTCCGGCCAGCCGGTCCCGAGTCCAAGCCCCATGACACCACCCGTGCAGCAGCAACCACCGCCGGGTTGGATGAGGCAATCAATGCCCCCGGTATATCCTACTGGACAGCAACTACCCAACGGTAGGCACTCCCTGGTGGCTCAAGGTGAATCAAGATTGGTTCCTTTGGGCAGCCACTACCACCCAGCTCCATCTTCAACATCGACCCCGAGTGAGCCACCCGCGGGCCAAAGCCGCCGTCGATCATCCACAGCGGACTCTTTAACTGTGTCTCCTCTCAGGCCGAGAGCTGATAGTCAGCCGCTGGGGCTTGTGCTGCCGTCGCCCTCTCCCATGGAAACGCCACAAGCGCCTGGCGCGGCGTCCGTCCCGCATGAGCATCCGACGCCAGGTAGCGCCAAAGTCGGCACGGGTCCAGATATAGGTCATGGTAGGAGTAAACCGACGACTGATTCGTACTTTCCATCCAGCAAGGAGCGTTCCGCTGGCCTTGTTGGTGACATTGCAGACCAGTTCGCGGCGGAAATGCAGGCTATCTTAGGACCTGGCTCGGAGGCTTCCGATGCCACCCCGGCTACCAACACTGCAGCGGCAAAGCCCGAGCCCAGGGGCTTGGTCGGAGCACCGTCCCTGGGCACTGGAAAGATGCTTCACCGCATTGAAGAGCATCAAGCTGGTAATACACCCATATCTGCGAGCTCGACGCAGGATTTGAGGCCCAGCTCAGTGGCTACGGACTTGACCCTGAGTACCTTGCAATCTACTGCGTCTCAGCCGCAGCCATCAGCGCCCTTGCAACAGACTTCACCAAATAACATGTTACAGGCCTCTCAAGGCATCAAGCCAGCGATCAATAGAAAGCCCGCACCTCATTCGCACGGCGCCCAAGCAGGCATGCCATTGCCAGGACAGATTAGGCCGCCCGGCCTCGGACCTCAAGGTTCGATACTTGGGCAAGGCGTTGCGCCGCAGCATCAATGGCAAAGCAGCATGCAGCAGTCAACGCAGCGGCCTCTATCTGTGCCACCGCAGACTCATGTGCAGCCGAGCAAGAGCAAGGAAAACAAGTGGACGAAGTGGTTCAAGAGTTCCAAGCCGGAAAAGAAACTGAGCACCTCGCAAATCGGGATGCCGCAGCAGCTGCAGCATTCCCCTCAAGGCTGGATGCAGCCGCAGCAGTGGCAGCCAGGAGCCCCGATCCCGGGTCATGCCTTTCAACATCATTCAATGCAGGGACAGCCGACACAATGGCAAGCTCAAGGACAGCCTGCTCCAGGACAATCTATCACAGGACAGTCTACCCATGGGCAACCCATGCAGAGCACTCTCATGGCCCGTCCCATGTCGCTGCAGCGTATGCCAATGAACGCCCATCCGCCGCATCAAATATTTCCAGGGCAGGGCAACGGTCCAACGCCTAGGGCGATGGAGCAGCAAGGTCCACTCGGGTCACACTCGCCTCAGCAGTACATGCCACTCCAGCCAGGCCAGCCCATGCAGATGAGGCAGCCTTTCGGTGCTCCAAACCAGCAGATGAGGCCTGGAGGACCTGTGATGCAGATGCAACCTCCAGGTCTAGCAGGATCGCCAGCACAAACAACGCCATTACAGCACTTGCAGAAATCATTACAAAATAGCGCCTTGTCCTCGCAACAGACGGGGCAGCTGGCACCACAGTCGGAAGGGCCGACGGCATCCCCCATGACAAACCATCTCATGCCGGCACCTCTTTCCTTAAGACCGAAATCCGAGGTTCCAGCTGGAATACCAGGTAGTGCGCTATCAAGCTAGAGATTTAGCATTTCGCATCATTTCAATTCGTGAGCCCCTTTAGCGAAAAGCACGCGGCCTTTGAACTGTTTTAGCATACAATATTACAGGTTCATCTACTTTATATTACAATACACTGAATTTTCGTTTGTTATTCGAATGCCTCACGCAACTTGCAGGTTTGCCCAGCCGCTGCCTTTGCATTGCACGCACTACACGTCCGGCCGTGGGCAATGAGTAGCACATGCAGCGGGTACTTGAGCTCGTCGGGGACTTTGGCATCGAGGTGCGCCTGGGCCTGCTCGCGCGTCGCCTCGTACGGCCGCCAGCCCAGCACGCCCGTCAGCCTGTACACGTGCGTGTCGACGGCGAAGCTCGGGCGCTGCAGGCAAAAGAGCAGGATGCAGCTGGCCGTCTTGGGCCCGACGCCCGGAAACGCGAGCAGCTCCTCCATGGCCTCGGCGTCGCCCGCCGTAAACAGGTGGTCCAGCGAGTACACGCCGTACTTGGCGCGCACGGCGGCGAGTATGTCGATGATGACCCGGCTCTTGGTCGCGGCGAGGCCGCCGCTCTGGATCGCGCGCTGCAGCTTGGCCTGCCCGCCCGCGGCAATGGCCTCCCACTGGTCGGACCCGCCATAGACGGTATCCATGCTCTGCTTGGCGCGCGTAGAGTTGGCCGAGCTCGTGTTTTGCGAGAGAATGGTGCGCACGAGCGCGTCCAGCACCGACGGCGAGTCGCCGCAGCCGGCGGCGGTGCGCGAGGCTACGACTTGGGCGGGGCGCGCGCGTGCGCCGTGCAGGCTGACGAGGATGTCGTGCGCGAGGGTGCAGTCGGCGGGTGTCGGGCGCGCAAAGTCGGGGAACGGCGTGCTGGTGATGTGCCGCGTCTGCTTGGATTTGCGGGGTGGTTTGGCGGGCGAAGGCGAGGGCGAGGGCTTGACGTCTGCAACAGAGGATGGCGGTATGGAGGAGAGAGTGGTGGCGGTGGCCTCGGTCTTTATTTTTGGCTTCACTTCTCGCTTCACTTTCCGCTCGTCTTCCTGCTTGATTTCTCGCTTGACCTCTCGCTTGACTTCTTGCTTGACTTCTTGCTTGACCTCTCGCTTGGTAGGGGCCTTTTCCGAGGCTACTGTAGACTTATTCTTGGTGATGCGCATCTGCGAGCGCAGGCCCTGCCTTGTGGGCGTGGCGGCGGCTCTGGCGCTGCGCCGTGAATTATTGTGCGTGGCGGCCATTATGCGTGTCGTGTACGTCCTGGCAGACAAGAGATTTATTTTACAAATTTGCGAAATCAACGTCGACATGTGAATAATTTAAAATGCATCGTGGTGGAATAAAGCGCGCCCAAAAGAATTTTGAATCAGGGGCAATGAATGACGCATGTCAAGTTTAGATCTGCCGTGTGGGTTGATCGCTGGGGGCCGTTCAGGTGGGCCAGATCGAACAACATCCGTCATCATCCATTACATTCACACCGGACAATGTCAGTCAATCAACGTCAATAAGTTTTACTGATGAAATCAAAAGTTGGTGTTTGGTGTTTGAATTCAAAGACTGCAGCCAGATGAGGCCTTTGTTATCCCATGCGCCATGTTTCTATGTACAACACACTCAAAGGAGTGACATTTAAATGTACTTGCAGCCAACGCCTTCAGCATTGGCACTGCAATCGGTGCGCGGCGCACCATTGACCGTGACCTCCATAATCTGCGCGCCGTTGGGTGTCACCTTGCCAGCGTCTCCTTCGGCATACGCATCCGTAAACTGCATCGCGCCAAAGTCTGCAAACGCGACCGGCTGGTCGCCTTTGCTAAAGTCCTCGACAATCCACTCCGCGTCTGTCAGGCACAGTGGTTCCGAGATGTCGGTAAAGGTGTGCGAGGCCGCCTTGCCCGTCGTCAGGTTCTCAATCGTCGAGTTGCCGCCGTGTAGGCCGTGCGAGTAGACGCTGAGCCGGAGCTCGTCGCCGGCGCTGACCTTGAAGTCGTCGTAATTGTAGCTGGGCTCGGGGAACCACTCGTACCAGGCCTCGATCTTGCCGTCGCCAAAGACTGCAAAGCCCGTCTGCAGCAGGCCGGTGCGACACTTGCTGCCGTCGATGCCGACCCAGCCTGCGGCCCCGGCCTCGGCAGACTGTCCGCTCACGTTGGGGACTCTCACGGTGCCGGTGACGTGCGTCCAGCCGCTGCCCGTCTGCACGGCGCCGCCCCAGTTGGAGTCGCCGGCTGCACGCCTGGAGATGTCGTTGCCTACCGGACGGGACTGGAAGCGGGACAGGCTGTCGGCGCTGGCGGCAGCCGCCGCAGTGAGGGCGAGAGCAACAGAGAACTTCATCTTGGTGGATAAACGGGGGAGAAAAGGTTAAATGTGTAGGGATAGCACTGTAGCTTGCAGAACAATGAATTGCGAGTTGGAAGATCCGTTCGCCAGACTTCTATGAGTTCTTGGCCGGCAATACCAGACTTATATAAGTTCTCGGCTGGGTATCAACACTTGAACACGGACACCCATCCGAAGATAGAGCTCCATCATGCCGGCCAAAGCGCCGTTCAAGGTTTCTTCTGGTATTTCTATCATGGTCTGGACCCGGCACAACCGAGGCAATATCACGAACAAAGCGGTAGGCTTGTTGGCTAGAACGGCCATGACTTGTTCACCCGCCATCTTTGTCCCCGCGTGGCCGGATAACGGTATTGTATCTAGGAGCGGCCGGAACCTCGCACGCGCAAAGCCACCTACTCAACTGGGTAATTGATAGTCAATTTATAGTTTGTTCTGGTTCGTCCTCGCCTCACTGGCGCTGATCAACCGACACACCTGCCTAGCTTGGCGCGTGTGGCGTAAGAGTTGACTCGTGGACGCTAACGCTAAACCCACACTCCAAGCGAGACCCGGCATGGTCTGATGTGTGCCCATGGTTCCTTGACTCAAGGCTCCAGATCATTGTCAAAGGTTCGATTGGGGGGGTTGAGAAAGTGTGCCTGACATGGCCGAGAGGGGAGGCGGAAATATGCCACTTTTTCGAGCCGCGGCTGTCCGACTCGCGACTCGGAAGACTGGTTGCCTGTGCTGGTCGACGTCGGGCCAATACAACGCTTTGTACGCGACAGTGCTAGTGGTCCTGCCAATACTTGGTCTCCGGTACTTTTCTGCATTTCCATCCTGCTACGTCAAATGTTCGAGGCGGAGCATTCTGAGGAAGTTATCAGTTAGCCCATGGGAAGACCGGCTTTTTAGCGATACACCAAGTCAAAAGCGAGGGGTGGAGGCGATACCAACATGCCAATGATACACGTGATAGCGCGTACAGTGGTGTCGCGTGGCGCGTTCCACAGCCTAAAGACACCCAATGACAGGCGCTAACAAGAGGCTCCAAACACGGGCGCACCGTGCTTTAGATTTGAGGAAATTTGTTACATAGTCTAGAAAGATACCATGGCATCAATGAAACAACGATGATGGTGTCGCAGCCAACGACAAAAACCTCGCCGGAATGTAGGCAAGAGTCCCAAGACAGCCAGGTCATCCTAGAGGCCTTACGCGCCGAGTTAGGCGTGCGCTCGGTGAGTGGAAGCGCTGAGCCACTGCTGCCTGCAGGGTCCCCCTCAGCCCCTGCATGCGGCTCACCAGGCAGAACTCCAGCTACAGCATCGTTCGCGTAGCAGCGATCAACAAGCTGACCGTCTGTCTTGTTCATTTATACAGTCTGCAGGTTCTCCAGTACAACGCTTGTCTCTGACATGTCCCGATAACGACGCCGACTGCTGCCGTGGTCACGACTCCAAGCGCCCGAAACCGTCGCAATCCCACGAAAATCAGGCTCAAGCTCCCGAATGTTTATATCAGGCGCACTGCGAACAGGCTACTTATGTAGGGAGTAACACCATGATTTTTCGCGTCAGACTGCATTCTAATGGCAATTCAAGAGATCATTTACCGTTCCCGCGCCACCGCCACCGCCAAACACGCACCCGCGAACTGTCAAACAGGAACCGACAGAAAGCCAGCCAAGCCTTAAACTAATGCGCGACGCAGAACATCGCGACGATGGCTCGGAAACCCAATTACCAGATACCTTGCTTCCCGACGCCGTTTTGCCACCAGCTACCCAGGCGGTAGGCGACGGCGAGGTTAATTTGCCGTCGCCGCACACATCCCAACCCTCGGGCGGGACGCGAAAAGAAACATCCCAGCAGACACCAACGCAAGTCAATGACGGCCGCGACTATGACAAGGGATACGATGTCCCATCAAGTGAACCCATGGTCAACATCGGTGACACACAAGCATCGAATTTTCAAGGTCAAATGCTAGAAGAAGATGACACTGGAGCCGTCAACTTTGGCAATTTGAACGATTTTCCCCGCGAATCCTCACAAGTATCCGAAGACGGCGGCTTCGAAAATGCTCGGGGTGGCTGGAGACTGCCAGATGACACCCAGCAAAATTCAATAAACACCCAGACTCCATACAAATCGAAAAACTTGCCTCCACCCGAAACACCGGCTCTGTCAAAGAACCCTTTCGCGCCCCAAGACGGTTCTGGGGCATTCGGAGCTGCCCCCGCGCCATTTGGAGGTACACAACTGTTTGGGCAGACTCAACTGTTGACGTCTGCTGTTAAGAACAGCCCGACCTCTTCCCGACCGTCGCCGAATGTGTACGACTCCATTCCTCTCGAGTTTGCCGAGACATCGCCTCTTAAGAATCGCGCCAATGTCTCCTCGCCGACGCAATATAGATCCTCGAGTCCGCAACATCTCCAGGAGATACCAGCCACTGTCTTGAAAGGGCCACGTATGAGCATTATTACCGAGGAGACGCCAACATCGAGCAGAGCTCACAAAGAGGAAATAATTCCAGAGTCTCCCACACGGCCTCGATCGAGAGAACGACAGCCGTTTGCGCACTACGAACCAATGCAACAGTCACAGGCACGCAAGACTAGCAGTGATTCTGTTGACGTTGCTGTGTCCTTTGATGGCGACCCTCATGACACCGTCGAGCAATTGGAACGAAGACGTCGAATCGAGAGAAAGCGCGCGAGAGCCGGAGAGGAGCTCCAGAAGATTGCACTTGCCCGACCAACTCGGACCAATGATCGTGCAGAAACAAATGGAAAGCGACGTCGTCTGGAACAGAACAGCCAGCTTGTCGGCCAGAAGGACGAGCAAGCTCCCACGCAAACCCCCGCCCCTGCGGCATTGCGAGGCTCAAACCCACAGTCGCTAGAATCGACCAAGGCAACACCCCGGGAAGATGACGATGCCGCAGACGATATGGCCAACGAGAGGACAAGTATCAGCGTTCCTAATCAAAATGTTACCGATATTGCCGACTATGACATGATTCCAGCGACAAGCCCGGTACAGTTGACACCAGCAGATGAGGCTCACCCTCACCGAGCCGGAACGCCCGCTTCCGAGCCTGAGCTGCCCCTTCTTCGTGATGAGCAGCTTGTGCTCAGTAGCGGCGAGCCGTCATCATTGCCCCCGCTAAACAGCAGACGAAAGACCTATGGACGGCACGCAAGAAGGTATCGTAGGAATATCGTTCTGGACTCGTCCAACTCTCATGCATCGACACGGGCAGAGACCTCGAAGCGTGATGCTGCGCAAGATGATGTGCCCATCGAAGAGGCCATTCCTTCAAGCGAGGGACAGACACCAATTGCTACGCGATCCAAATCGAAAAAGCAGGTACCCAGAACGCCACTACAACTAAGTGGTGAAGAGCCTCCCACCACAGCATCATCCCTCAGTGTAATGTCACATACGCCGAATCCGTCGTCAAAGACTACGCCTGCAACTAAGGAATCGGTCGTATCAAAATGTCTTGATGTAGAGACGGGGCAAGCGCTTACACCAAGCCGAAGCCTACGACGAAGAGTGATGGAGAAGGAATCTGTGATGCCGCAGCCTACACTATCGTCACGGAACCTCCGCGCCTCAAAGCGACTGCATGGTGAGTTCCAGTCTTCTGGTCAACCACGCACGCCGTCAGACACTGGTGCAAATACAACTTTTACACAAAGGATTTGCCAGAATCTCGACGCTGTGTACCGGGAGGAGCGCCACTTATTCGAAGGCATGGTATTTGCCATTTCTGTAGCTTCGGATCGCGGCAAGCTAGAGAATCGCATAGTTCAAGCCGGTGGTATCGCTTTGCAAGACGGCTTTCAGGAGCTGTTCCAGTCGTTGCCATCCATGACTTCAACAGACGGGGCATTCGATGACAACAAGGACCTTGTTCTGTCCCAACGAGGCATGGAAAGTGGCTTCACCGCTCTCATCGCGGATGGGCACTCTAGAAAAGCCAAGTACATGCAGGCATTGGCTCTCGGGCTGCCATGTCTTGCTCAACAATGGATCACCGCATGTCTGAACAAAGGAGCGCTCATTGACTGGCAACCATATCTGCTCTGTGCTGGTACATCCGCAGTGTTGGGAAATGCATTTCGCTCCCGCTGTCTGCTGCCGTACCCAGCCGCCACAGCCCTGTTGGCCGACACCATTGATCAGCGGCCTCGTCTCCTGCACGACCAGAGCGTGCTCGTTGTCATGGACGGCAAAAAGGCCAGGAGTGAAGCAAAGCAGCCCTACATTTTTCTGTGCCAGGCGCTTGGCCCGTCTATTACCCGCGTAGCCACTGTCGAGCAGGGCCGCGCCGCGTTGGCGGAGAGAGCCAAGGGCAGCCACCCCTTTACGTGGCTGTATATTGACAAGTCGACTGGCACGGCGGAAGCGGTGTTGGCGCCGCCTGCCGCGGCCAGGTCGAAGAAGAAGAAGAAGAGGACGTCCGCTGCGACGCAGGCGGGTACAGGTGTACGGATATTACATGATGAGTTGATTGTTCAGAGTCTTATTTTAGGTCGCATTGTGGAGCCAGACGAGGAGGATTCTTTTTGATTACAAGGCGTTGGCAGGAACCATTGGCAGGAAGGCCGGGGCGCACAGGTCATCTAAGGTCTCAAACTGACCTATGTTGGATATATAAGTATGCGCGCAGTACATTTACTTGTTCTCTTTTGGTCAAGTTTCTTGACGACCGATCCCTGTAATATCGAGACAATGTCGTCTGCTTTGTTAACATTTCTACGTTTCTGAACGAAAGGTTCGTTTTCAAAAGTCAAGCGGCTGAAGCCGAAGAGTTATATACGACGACATTTCCTTTCGGATGAGACGTAAGAGTTCATTCTAGGTATCGTTAAATCGGTAGTCATCAAAAGGCATATCCTTGACATCAGTCACTCGTACCAGCGCCTAGCTCACAGCTTCCAGTCCAGCAAACAATCATGAGTATTTTTCCGTCCCAACACATATTTTGTCAGTCAGTATGTTCTATTGCGGCTGCGAGTCAAACGTAATCGTCTTTGTCCGCGTCCACTCGTCGAACCCGGCGCCAAAGCGGCCGTAGCCGCTGTCCTTGGCGCCGCCGTGCGGCAGCGAGGGCTCGTCATGCGGCGTCATCGAGTTGATGTGCACGGCGCCCGTCTCAATCTTGCGCGCGACGCCCAGCGCGCGCCGCAGGTCCCTGCTGAAGACGGCCGCCACCAGGCCGTACTCGGTGTCGTTTGCAATCGCCACGGCGTCGGCCTCGTCCTTGAAGCCGATGAGCGACACGGTCGGCCCAAACGACTCTGTCCGGTACACGTCCATGCTGGGCGTCACCTCGGCCACCACGACCGGCCGCATGCGCGTCTTTGCGTCGTGCTCCTCCTCGTCGTCGGGGTCACCGTACAGCAGCGTCGCGCCTTTGCGCAGCGCGTCGGCCACGAGCGCCTTGTTCTTGACCACGGCCGCGGCGGTGACGAGCACGCCCGCCTCCTGACCCCCTCCCGCTTCACCGTACAGCGACTTGACCGCGGCGACTAGCTCCTTCGCGAAATCGTCCCGGACGCGCTCGTGCACGAGGATGCGCTCCGTGCTCATGCAAATCTGGCCGGCGTGCAAAAAGGCGCCGAGCGCGCAGTGGCGCGCCGCGAGGGCGAGGTCCGCGTCCTCGAGCACAATCGACGGCGCCTTGCCGCCGAGCTCTAGCAGAACGGGCTTGAGGTGCGCGCCGGCCGTCTGGGCAATGATGCGTCCGACGGCCGTGCTGCCGGTAAAGTTGATTTTTTTCACGTGCGCGTGCGCAATGACGGCCGACGTGACGGCGGCGGCGTGGGCGGGCGCGGTGGTGAAAAAGTTGAGGACGCCGGGCGGCAGGCCGGCCTCCCAGAGCACGGAGCAGACGAGGTGCAGGGACTTGGGGCTCAGCTCGGAGCCCTTGAGGACGACGGTGTTGCCGGCCCCGACGGCCCAGACGATGGCGCGGATCCCGAGAGGAATTGGGGCGTTCCTGCGATGATTTTAGTACAAAAAAAAAAAAAAAAAACTATGTGTTGAGGGCCCTGTGATACAAGTCCAAGATGGATAATGAGAGTAGACTACAAAAGGGAAATGGTCTTACTTACCAAGGGGCAATGGAAAACACGACACCGTATGGCTCTCTGATGAGGAGCGCCTCGCGACCGGGATCTGCAATCGCAGGCATCTTCCCTTCGAGGTTGACGAGGCACGACGCGGCGTGAATAATCGTCTCGGTCGCAATCCTGAGGTTCAGATCCCCCCAGGCGTCGTCGCTGCCCGTCTCATCGCGCATGGCGGACTTGAGCTCGTCGCCGCGCGTCTGGATAATGTCGGCGGCGCGGAGCAGTATAGCGCGGCGCTCGTGCAACTGCGTGCGGCTCCACGCGGAAAGGGCCCCGGCGGCGGCGTCGACGGCGGCGCCGGCCTCGGCGACGTTGGCGCTCGACGACTTGTGCAGGAACTTGCCCGTGGCCGGGCTGACGACGTCAAAGGTGTCGCTGGTCAAGACGTCTTGGCCGCCAATGACGAGGGGCACGGTGTCGGAAGCCATGACTGTGTGAATGAGTTCTCCTGCCTTGGGGAGTTTTGTGGGAAGAGTAGTTGTAAAAAAAAAGGGACCTTGAGATTGGCCCCCCGGGGGCGGGAGAGATGACGTGTGATGGGTTGTTGGACAGGACGTGGCGAATCTGGACGAATGTGGTTTATATATCGTTTTTCTAATGCGGGATATTGCCTTGATGAACAACCACTGTTATTACACTATAGATACGAGGATGACTTGGAGCTTTATACTCGCTAATTTGTAGACTTGGTAGACTTGCTGTGCAACCACCTCGCTCTTTTGGTACCGGGCTGGACTAGATGCATCCCACTCGGCGCCGGTTGGCGGGGGTTTTGAGGCGGACCGTTGGGCGGGCGGTCTTTTGCAGAAGTACAGACTAATTACGGATACCCTTTGTCCTCGGTCTTTTTTCAAAAGCAGTTTGTTCTTGTTCGGGGTAAAGTAGTTGGTGTTTGAAGACATATTTCGCCGCAAGCCTTATTGCTAGCGCCTCCGGAAAGTCGCCACGCAGCGAAGCCGGCCTTTAATATTGATTTTGCCAATATTTTGCTGGGATCCGTCAGCGACAACTACGTACCTTTTTTTCGGGAGGGCGGAACCTGCTTTGCATTGGTGCGGCGCTAACTGGCCACAATCAATCGTCTTTTTGTTAAAAGCCCGAGAGGATTTTTGTGGCTCGCAAAATGCCCAGTGCTCACTTGCCGTGTTCATCTTTACGGGTAAATATTTTCAAATGATATGTCATGCAGCATGAATCGCGGGTTTCTGAAGAAAAACAAAAAAAAAAAAAGAAAGAACATCACCAAGCCCTGGACCTTGGCAAGTCGGGAGCTGTCCAACCTACACCCAACTGAGACAACAGGCTTGCAGTGCGACCGACGCCCGACCCTGGTTATAGAGATCAATATCACACCCTTCATAGATATCTGCACAGCATGACGATTTATTCTGGATCAAAGTGGAATTCTCCGCTCGGCCAGCGCGGGTCCAAGTAGGTAGGTACACCTTGGCGTGCTGGCCTCCCGAGAAAGATCACCACTGCGGGGGGGAAATCCACAGACAGGAAGATGAATCGTCAAATCGTATCGGTGATTTGGAGAGGTTCGTCGGCAATTTATAAAGACCGAAAAACTCAGGGACTCGGTAAAATAGACACGGAAATTTTACATCGGTGGATAACTGGATATCAATATCGCCTTCTTGGTTCTGTTTGGAGTTTGAAGTAAATATCAGACAAATGCCAAGTCGCCTGTTACGTCGCTGTCTTCCCCCTTTTGTCATCATCCCGCTCGGCGCCACGTACACGATACAACAGCAATGCCAGCCTTGAACTGTCTTTCTAGCTAAGAAAGCTACAACAAATTAGGTTGATCAGGGCTGATGCCGTCACATTTTGCCCAAAATAGTATATCCTGCGACTTTTCTCAAACGTTCCCGACCATCGCACGGAAGCCGAAATGTAATTATAAGTAGCTCAGTTTAGATGCCATCCATCTTCGCTCGCTTATGCCGTCGCCTCTGCCGAGCTGGTCCGAGTTTCCGACTTGAGGGCTTGGTAGCGCCGATTGTCTTTCTTGCGCCTGTCGATTGGCTAGTACCAGCGCACTTACAGGCGTCGTCGACAATACGCGGCACCATGAACTAATATAAGAAAACATGCGCTTCTTCCTTTTTCGCCATTATTAAAGGCTCCTTCCTGTTACTAATTACATAACATTGAACCTTTGGGAATTTTTCAACAAACGGTCAAGATGACGTGCTCTATCCGTGTACCTCCGGTCGATCAGACAGCGACCAAAACCATTCTCATGCAAGAGTTTGTAGTAATTCGTGTCAAGATAACGTCTGAGTGAGCCGATTCAAGATACTCTCAGAGCGCATAATTGACTTGGGCAGAGACGTGCCGTCATTCATGTTCCCGCATTATTTATCCGTTACAAAAATGGTTGCGACACGCGGCTGTTAGCAACTAGAGTTAATTTAGATGTTTGACATAAATCGTGACCAAAACCTATCGCCAAAATATTGGCACCAATAAATCATAACTATCCTCTCTCCCAAATTCGGTGACTTGCGCATCTCTGCGCAACAGGTACATTTCCGCGTCGTCCCTCAAATCCTTGGCCTTATCGCCGTCATTGTATGATTCTTGCAGCAGAGCTTCCGATAGCTTGAAAAGGCATCGTGCGTGCTCGGCGGGCATGGTATTGGCATGAAACTTGGTCATGGTCAAAGCTTCGCCGAGGTGTTTTCTGGCCAAGTTGTTAGCACACAACTCAGTTCGGAGCGTCATCGCCGCGGACATACACGGCTGCTTCAATCTTGCCCTGGTCGAGGCAGGTTACGCTAATTTTGTATATGCAACCTGCGTGGAAAGGATGTAACCTCGTCTGATCTCCACGCATCCATAGGTTCTGCGCTTCAATAAAGCTAGCTTCCGCCGCCTCGAGTCTGTTTGTTTTTCGCTCGAGGGTTCCCTTGACAAAGTACGCGCTGGCTTGGGTCAGACTTGACATCATGTCTAAACTATATCAGCATAAAACATTACTTACTAGGCGATCATGGCCCAGTTCAAGACCTTTTCTTGCTTAAACTCAGTTATTGAATCGTTGAGCAGTTTCTCTGCCTCGGCATGCTGGCCAAGGTAAACAAGGCATCGTGCCATGTTCTTCTTGGTTACCGTCGGCCAATCCGCTTCTCTCCCCTCTTCAAGATTCCAAGCAATTATTCTGTCTTTGGACTTGATAAACCATTCAAGCGCCTTTTCGTGTTGGTTCGCCGTATTGTAGTTGTAAGCCAGGTTCTGCTCGAAGCCACCTAGCAGGCTATGCTTGAGCGGCTTCTCCGCCAAACGCATCTCATATCCTCTCAGATTGAGATCAATGGCGGTTTCCACTTTGCCTATGCTCTCGTACATGCTGGCCTGAAGTGACAATGTCCAGGCTATGAGATTCGCTGCCTGCTCTTCGTTTGGAATCTTTTCCGCTGCCCAGAGACTTACTTTGCAGACATCTTCGAGGTCATCCAACGCATTTGCCTCATAAAGGTATCTATCAACATCAGCCTTTAGTACGTCGCCATGGTTCGCCATCAACTGACCTTTGGCAATCTCGCAAAAGCTCACAGAACGTCGAGACACTTGACGCATCGCAAAGCTCGGAGTTTCCCTTCAAATGGTCCTTCAAACTGAGTACATGCTCTAGAAGTCGATTGCAGTCATTCCAATGCTGATATAGCTGATTGATATTCTGATCAGACTGTTTCGGAAACGCTCGATGAATCAACTCTGTTGCGTGATAAAAAGCACATCGTCGCTCTTCAGGAGAGAGGTAATATTGAAAGTGCATCTGAACCATTCGATGGCAAGAAAACACACGAGCATCCCTGTCCCTTGTAATCAGGGCAAGAGCCAACAACGGCTCTGTGGCCTCGGAAAAACTGTGCCATGTTAGCCATGTACTAACTCGTTTTTCTTCGTGAATTGTCTCACCTTAACTCATTTCTGCAGAACTCGAGGCCTTTTGGGTAGTCACCATCATGTTTAAACTCGAATAGTACTTGTGGAATATTGTCCGAGGCGAGGAAAGACGCGATGTCAAGAATTGTTTTGCTGTTCTCGTCCAATGTTGAGAAGGAAAAGTCCCACAAAGCTTGAAGCTCCGTTTGGTGGGCTCTTTTGGGATTGTTCAGATATGTGCGCATGTACTCCGATATGGACCAAGATCGTCTCTGAATGAGGCCGACGGTATTGGAAATTGCCAAGGCATGACCACTGAGGCGTTTTGAGATTTCCCAAGCCGACAGACCCTCAGCTTCAATGTCCCTACCAATGTTACCTTTCAGTAGGAATAAAAGAAACTCGAACCCCTCTCGCTCATCCCAAGATGATATCTGAATGCCAGAGGATGCAGGTTCGTAAGCCAGAGCGTGGTTTCGAGTCGTGATGATTGCCCTCCCGTGACTAGCCTCAGGCCAAAATGGCCTCAACGCATCAGCAGACTCTGCATTATCATATACAATCAACCATCTACACTCTATGTAACAATTAGCATGAGACCATACCAGGACGGTGTTGAGCAGTAATTGAGGGAGGTCTTCAAATATACGAACCTGTCAGTTGGAGCCAGTTCTGAACAATGATGAGGTTGTCGTCATGAAGGTTTGGCTTTGCTCCGTCCAACTCCAAACGTAAAGCAATGTTGGTAAAGCTCTGGCGTAGTGAGGCTGTCCTTTCAGCATGAACCCAAAAAATGGCATCGTATTCGTTTTCTTCGAATTTTCGCTCAATGTATCTTGCCGCGATAGTGCTCTTGCCAATGCCACCCAGGCCATGCAGAGCCACTGATCGGAAAGAGGGACTTGGTCCTGGCCCGCCTATGGCCTGATCAATCTTGTTGAAAGTGTCAGCTCTATCAAAGAAACGGGAGACATTCTTAGTCGGCGCCATCAAGCAGCGAAAGCGCGGTCTGAAGGCGGCCATGTCTGATGATGCGGCGTGATCGGTTCTCGGATGAACCGCTGCCAAGCTTTCAACCTGTGCGAGTGTCTCTGCAAGTTCCAGATTTGTACGAGTAAAATCCCTCTGGAGTAGACTCCAAGGGCTGCTCTCCCCTTCTACCAGATCTGTCATTTCTATCAGTTTACCATGATCAATTGGCTCTTGCTCGCAAGGGACATACGCGCAGCTGGTGTTGCTTCTTCACCCCGCATAGACTGAATGCACGCGGCAAGAAATTGCACCATCTGAACTTGAATGTCGAAACAGGCCTGATTCAACTGGTCCCGATTGTCTGATGAACCTTTGTAATGTACGAAAAAGGCTTCTGCTTTGTAGCCCAAGGACTTGATCATTCTTGGTATCTTGCCGAGGGCCACCGAGTCTTGAGCAGTAATCTGTACGAATGTTATAAAAGTTCCACCGAGGGCAGTCGAGAAGGCGTACCTTGAGCAGTAGGTTGAGAATCCCCCAAAAAAATTCCAGGTTAAGATCAACGGCCAATTCAGTTCCAAATAATGTGGCAAAACGACGCAGGTGACCAAGACTAGGCTCGATGATTGATATCTCGTATGGCGGCGTATTGCTTAGTGCATCGCATTGCAGCGCATCCCAAGACTTTATTTGCCGCACCCGTTCCAGGTCATCCGACTCCAGTTGTTTTTCGCATTGTAGCACAGTTCGATTCCATCGATCGACAAAAAAACGTTCCCTGTAGAGGTACAGAGAATCAGTGGAACTGCGGCTATGGCTCAAAGTCCTTGATCCAGCTCACAGGTCTGGGTGATCCATGGCGTAGGGCAAGGGTAAAGAGGCGACTGTAAGCTTCGAAAGCGCGATTTAGAGGTCAATCGGCGAGATTGAGACGGTGAGAGTGTCAGAGTACGATTCTCAAGCGTCAGAAAGCCAGTCTTAAGAATTCAGGCCATCGGAAAGGGGATTTGTGCGCCTGAATGAGCTGTCAGCCTGGAAGGAGCAGGCAGGGAACAGTTTAAGCGTGAAATTCAGGGGTCTCTGCGCGGGCAATGTAGTGCTTCAGAATGCTTCAACACTTGTCAGTTGACACAAAGGCGGCCGTGTACCCGTATGTTTTGCAGTAGGCTTCGTGGCGTACACGCAGCCTGTCAAGCCCTGACACGTCGTCATGTCACACAAGCAAACGGACAAAGGAGCCCATTATTATGGGCATCAACTAACTTGCTACCTTCGCATCCTACATCGAATTACTGATGCGCAAGTGGAACACCCCGGGAGGAAATTTGTGATTCGACTCCGAGATAGATTTGTCACCGATGGTCCAGACGGAAAACCCTTGTGCCTCGTGACTGGAGTGGTTGGTGAGCGTCTACAACGGCCTGGTCATTTGGCGCACGACGACCTAGAATGGCCCCGAGTGGTTTTCCTACAGATTGCATAAGGTCTGGGATATCTTCACGCCTTGGGCATTGCGCATGCTGGTAAGCCTTGATGAAATGGGCATCCTTCAAAGTATTCTAATATCTACAGATTGCTAAACGTCCGTTATCCTGTCGCAGCTTCCGCCTTTTGACGACTGGACCCAGGATGAGCTCTATGCTTGTATGGGCCAACCTGTCACAAACCAAGTACGTCGCAAAGATCGCAAGCCCAAAGACAACAGTGCGCCCGATTACACTATCGACCCTGGTGATGTACTGGCTTTGCAGAACCGCCTGCATACCGATCGGATCCTGCTTGTTGACTTGGGGGCCGCTTTCTGTCACGACGAGTGCCCGCCAGTGCTTTACACGCCGGCAACCCTTCACTTCGTCCGAAATACTGTTCGGCGATCAAATAACCTATGCTATCGAGCAATGGCTTTTTTCTTTTCTTTTCTTTTCTTTTTTTTTTTTCTTTTTTTTTTTTTTTTTTTTTTTGCCTCTTATATGAGCTCCGCGTTGACCGAACTCTCTATCAACTCCTCTTTGGCTGGAATAATCACGCGAGAAGGTACCAGGTGGCCATGCTTGGGAAACCGCCGGATGCTCTCTGGCGGAACTGGGAGGGGAGAGAAGAGTATCCATTTCCTGGTAGCGTCCCAAAAGAGGCTCAAGGTATGCGGGCCTTCGCAGCCCGTGGCTCCCGCCTTGTCAGGCTTTGTGTAACGCATTTGTCGGTTTCCTGCTCAGTTCGTCCTCGATCAAAGAATTGAGCAAACCTTTTCACACCCCACATGGTTCTCTGGCTTGCTTTTTTGCGGGCGGTCGCCATTCTATTTCTCTTTGCCTCTTTGCTTGCAGTCGGCCGTATGCTTCCACCACCCATCACGACGGCTCCGAGTATCTAGGCCCATGAACTGAAAGCTACACCATGGCTCCGACGAGTCATACTCCTGCACTTGGTGCCACAGTGCATCAGCTGCTCATCAAACCCATCTTTGATCTCCTCGAGCCACGAGAGAAACTTTATGCCCACCACATGGCGCGGGCGAGCTGGCATGGAAGCAGAATCATCATGCGTCAGGTTTCCGCCGAAAGTCCCGACATCTTTGACTTCATCATGGATCTGTATCATGCTTGCGACGGCCAGTGGAGTAGACTGGTGACAGAATGCAGCATTACTGATAGGGAGCTTCAAGCATTTCTCGAGTACGCTGGAACGTTTCTTTGTAATCTGGGCAACTACTACGTAAGTTTGGTGAGCCGCCATCGTTTGCGCAACGCTGACCTCAGCAGGGCGAAGGAGACCGAAAGTTTGTTCCGGACCTGACTCCCGACGTGTTGCAAAAAGTTGCCACCAAATCTGCCGCGGCCACTGAGAGGCTGAGCGCGATTATGCAGCCGTTACTAGCCGTCCCGCCGTTTGGCCTTGGTTATCCCAACGACAACGCAGCGTCGGCCTATTATCCTGGCACAGAACGAATCTCGCACGAGGAAGTTGCCAAAGTATTCAAAGTCATGGCTGCGCATGCCATTGAGCCTGAGAATACTCGCCTACAGAAATTTGTTGTGGGTGGAAAACCAGTGTATCATGTCCTACAAGCTTCTGTTGAGACAGACGAGAGGCCGCAGCCTCTGGCAAACGACGTATATCTCGTTCGTGGAGATTATTCCAAGGAATCAAGGAGCGTTGTATCGTCTCTGGGTGAAGCTAGCAAGTATGTTGCCAACAACAAGCAATCCGCATTCCTCAGCCACTATATCGAGACGTTTCAAACCGGCCATCTCGATGCCTTTCGGAAATCACAGAAAGTATGGGTCACTGATCAAGCCGCGAGGGTCGAACACGTAATCGGTTTCATCGAACCGTATCGTGATCCGGCGGGCATTAGATCAGAATGGGAAGCATTGGCTGGAATCGCCGACAAGGACGAAGTAGCACGTTTGAAGTGTTTGGTTGAAAGCTCCGACATCTTTATTCGGCAACTCCCGTGGGCTGTAGAAGGGGTCAATGATGGTAAGGGACCATTTGAGAAGAGCTTATTTGAAGCTCCCGACTTTACGAGTATCCATGGTAGGCCTCCCTATCCAGAATCTATATGACTACTAATCTTGTAGCGCTTGCCGTTTGTGGTAGCGTCGTCTTTGAGGCCTGCAATCTTCCCAATGTTTGTCAACAATTCGCCTGAATGCTGGGCGAGCTAACACGTAGCAGTACAATGATATTCGCGAGACCGTGGGCTGCAAAAATATTGTTCTCGCCAACCGCCTCAGCGTCAACAATAATCCCAATCTACCTTGCCCTTGGGTTGATCCGTCTGAGCTGCAGCGCTTCAAACGCACCACGCATATTGTTCGATTCCTGACCACGGCCATCCACGAGCTACTCGGTCACAGAAGTGGGAAGCTTCTCAGTGAAACTGAACCCGGGATTTACAATTTTGACAAAAAGAACCCGCCCATCAGCCCTCTTACTAAGCAACCCGTGGACTTGCACTATTTGCCATCGCAGAGCTGGGGAAGCGTCTTTGGCAAGCTTGCGGGGACGGTCGAAGAATGCCGCGCCATTCTCATTTCCGAGTATCTCATGGATAATAAACAACTGCTAGAAATTTTCGGCTACACTGATAGCAGTGAAATTACAGCCGACGAGCGTATGTCAACCACAACTGTCATCTATACCAACTAATAATTGTTAGTTCTCTACGCAACCTATCTCAACATTGGTGTTGATGGTCTTCAAGCTTTGCAGCATTACAGCTTTGAAAACCAGGCTTGGGGTGGGCCTCATCACCAAGTACGTATTATTCGTGTCTTTATTATTTGTCTTTTTCATCATCCGGTGTCTTGATCATTAATAGGCCACTGACACTAGTAGGCTCATTTCTCCATCTTCAAGCACCTCCTCCAGGATGGCAGCGGCGTCATCCGCGTTGACCACAATCCTTCCTCTTCCAATCTCACTGTCCGCGTTGATAAGTCCAAGATGCAGTCTCATGGTAAGCCCGCTTTGAGCAAGTACCTCTGTTGCCTGCACATATGGCGCTGCACCGCAGATGTCTCGTCTTGCAAGGAGCTCTACGAACACCTTTGTGCCGTGGACGGCGATTACGAGGTGTGGCGAAAGATTGTGTGTTCAAAGCCGAATCCAAAGTGGAAGTTTGTGCAGCCCAACACATTTTTCAATGGTGACTCGGTCGAGATGAAGGTTTATGACGAGAGCAACGAAGGGATTATCCAGTCGTGGGCCGAAAGGGACATTTAGATGGAGCAGTCAGCTGCTCTTGTGGTGATGAGATGCGGGGGATCTAACATGTAGTAAGCGGGGAAATCAAGTTATATACAATGCTACTCAAAAGAAATTCTCCTGTTGTATCCGCACACATATCCTAGACATTTTCGCGTAGGTCAGCCAGCCAACCTACGTGTTCGACCTCCATTAGTGGTGCATGCAAATGCACATGAGACAGTGTATCTAGAAAAACACGGTTTGTTTATTTATTTATTTTACAAGCACACTCTTATCGCATAGCGGCAGTTTTCGTTCCCAGACAATAAGCATCCTGCGTAAACTAGTGCAGGAAATGCAAGGAGTTGCTGTCGCGTTACTTGCGACGATGCCGATCTCCGCTTCCAGCCGCTCGGCTGAAATGGTGTGGCTGCTGTGCATGACAATGTCACAGACAAAGACAGTCTAAGGGTGGATAGAATGAAAAGCAAGCGATACTACACGGTAATATGAAAGGGTATCATCGCTACTTTTGTTTACGTATATGAATATTCTCTCCCCTCCGATTTAGCCTCTGAAACTTGCCTTTACTTTACTCTTCTCTCGCTCACGACTAAATAATCACTCGCTGGTTAGTTCTGAGTGAGATACCTTGGGCCAAAGCATAATTCAACATGCTCTCCTTGCTTGGTTTTCTTGGCTTCGCGGCACTAGCCGCAGCAGCACCCGTCCGAGACCAGGCATTCATCCCTCGTACCCTAGGTTAGGCCAGTTCCAACTTGCGTCCCCAAGCAGCCCGACGCCATGGTTGACTCTCAAGTTATACAGTAAACAGGTCTATTTACGACAAGTTGGCGCTATACGCGGGCTACACGCAGCTGTCTAATACCGGAATCTGCGCGCGTCCATCCGTCCCTGGCGTTTTGTACCAGTTTGTCGAGAGCAAGGACACGGACACGCAAGTCTCCATCTGGAAAGTGGACGCATACAAGGAATTCGTCATTGCCATCCCGGGAACATCGAGCGCTCGTGACAATGAGACGAATTTTGATTTTGCGCTCGTCCCATACCAGGCGGACAATGTGCGCTGCCCGTCATGCCGCGTGCACAAAGGCTACCAAGCTGCGTGGAGGTCTGTGATGAAGCAAGTGCAGGGAAACCTCACAAACCTGCTTGGCATCCATCCGGATTATACAGTGACTTTGACGGGCCATTCGCTCGGAGGCGGTCTCGTCTCTATAGCTTTTCCCACTCTACGAAACGGGCCGTACAATGTCACGCAGGCGTATACATATGGCCAGCCACGTGCCGGCAACGGTGCATTCGCCAACTATGTGGATGGTATTAGTGGTGCATCCGATAAAGAAGCTGGCATTTTCTACCGGGTTACCCATGCGAATGGTGAGTTCTCATGTCAGATTTTGTATTTCGCCCAATTTGTGATAACTTGCACCAAGAGGCTGACATGATTTTCATCAACAAAAACAAAAAAAGACTTGATCCCAAAGCTGCCACCAGGAATTTTCGGTTACAAGCATTCCCGAACAGAATACTGGGAATCAAAGCCCTCAATGGACAATGCCGCGTCCACGTACCGCTGCTATGGCCAGGAGCCGGCCGACTGCAACCGCAATGCTACGGGGATCGACTCCAAGGTGCATGTTACATATGCAGGAATGAATGTGACGTGTAACAAGTCTTAGCTCTCAAGGTTAGGTATAGAACTAGCAAGCCCCCTCATCTGAGAAACAATGCCGTCTCCATCAATGGCCTAAAATCTGCACTGCATCTCAACAAGCATATGCAGTCACGCTTGCCGTCGTTCGTAAGGGCCGAAGCGGGGGGGAAGCTGTCCATTCTTGGCGGGGGGAGGAGGGGGGAAGAAAGTGATTCGGAGCAGATAATCCACTGTACGAGACACTCTCGTGACTCTCTACCTCGCTAGAGCTGAACAGGAACTTGTGTGCACAAATAATGAAAAAGTTCATTACTTTCTGTAGAGGCAGATCTGTCTGTGAACCCAGACGTCGGCTGCTGCCGTGTAATTCAATCGTCAGATATCCCAGGTACATGACCATCTACCCAAAGGTGTACAGTACTGGTACTATCTCGGCAGTTTATAGTAATTTGGTCTAAATTTTACCGTCAGCCGGTTTTGCACAGCCGGCCAGTATCCAGATCGTAATCCCACTTGTCGCTGCCAACACCGCTCAAGACGTACAGGCTTTCTGTAGGGTCATATTTTTTCTTAATCTCGAGCAATTTGTCGTAATTTCTTCCGTAATAGTCCCTTTTCCACTGTGTATTGTACGGGTTCGCCTCATTCATATATGCTCCGGTAGTAGGCGCCCACCGCCTCCAAAGGCCTTCCTTGACCTCTTCAAGCCAAGCTGCCGCATGGGTCAGCGCGGCCTTTGCTCCGCCCTGCTTGCTCGGCTCAATCTTGACACCTCCAGATATGAAATGGACGTAGGCGGATCGCCAGGCTGGGTTGACTGCCCCCCACCGATTCTCCGGCATGTTGGTGATGCCTGGTCCGCCTTGCAAGCCAATGGTGGCAAACATGCCTGCAGTCGAATTCTCTGCTTGCAGTGCCGTTTGTAAATAGGACATGACTGTGGGGGGAGGAGTTTCCACAAGCTCAGCGCGACCCAAAAGGCGGCTTGTCTCGAGACTCAGACCACCCGCGACGTCGCTCCCGGAAATGGTTTTATAGAACGACGCATAGTCGTTGAATGTCGACGTACTCCAAGCCAGCTCCAGAGATTTGTTGGAAGTAGAGGAGCAAATGTCTGCAATCAATGGCTCCACAAGAGTATTTAGTGTCGCAGATGTCATGTTGTATCCAAAAAACACCTGAGTGATGGCAACGCCTGTCGCCACCGGTGATCTGAATCGCAGAGCGGTTTCACCCGTCGCCATCGTTGCTGATCCGGTTAAGCCTGCATCAATGAGGTCTGGCCAATGCCTCATCAAGATGGCACCGGCTTTCCAGCAAGACTGCGTCTCGTCTTGGCCTGTTGGTGTAATCTTGAAAACCCCACTGGCCACCTGAGCTGGCGCCGGATGGCTTTTAATGACATACTCTGTGACGACTCCAAACTGGCCACCGCCTCCCCCTCTCACAGCCCAGAAAATATCCTCATTCTTGGCGTCATTGGCCACAAGAATCTGACCTTGCGTGGTAACAATTGTAACCTGCAGGACTTGGTGTGAGGCCAGACCATACGTACTGGAAAGAGGACCGTGACCCCCTCCTTGGATGTAGCCACCAAGGCCGACACTCGGGTCTTGGCCAGTGGTGACAACACGCCCAACTGCCAACGCTTCATCAAGCACATCGCCCCAAGTCTCGCCACTGCCAACAATGAATACGTCTTGAGGCTCCCGACTGCCAGGAGTCAGTCAAGACGCGTTCCGCTGGATGCCTCGCAACCCACGAGTCCAAATTGACATGGAGAACGCGCCACTAGACCTTTTTGACGGTTAGAATGGGCGTCATCACGTGGAGTTTGTACAACCTACCGGCCGTTGAGGTCATGGCCTGTGCCCTTGACAACACTTCGAATATTATGCTTGGCTGCCCATTTCATTGCTGTTGCTACCTGCCACGCACTAGTAGCGTTGACGATGAACTCTGGCAAGCCACCCAAATGGCAACCGGCAGTCTCGTTGTAACCGCCCGCTCCCGGCGGCAGGCATGAGTTGTTGGAGTAGAGTGGATAGTCGATGGATTCGGGCAGTCCAGCATGGAACTGACCCGAGGTCCAGTTGGCCTTGACGACCTCGCAGCTTAGTGAAGAATGAAATGGGTTACCGGGCCAGCATGACGATGCCACCGGCACAGTTTGAATGAGCGTTCCATTTATAGTCTTGTTGAGGCTAGACCACTCATCTAACGAGGGCCATGCAGCGTCTGAGGGCGTCGATTTGCAACGAGGCCGGGCCGTTGCCTGCACAGACAGAGCAAGAGATAGCTTCAAAAACAACGGGTTTGCGAGCATGTTCAAAAGATTGAAAATTGTTGTTGAAAGTGTTGACTGTAGGAGTACTGCAGGTAAGCAACAGCAGGCCGTCCCTGTTTTATAGCCATGATGCGCTCTCTTTTTTGAAGACGGTGAATCGTAACAAGTCACAATTATATCGGGTTATAAGTGATAAATCCGAGGTTGTTGCCAGTTGTTAATAATAGTTGACTTGATGCCTCTGAGCGTTGCGTAAAATGTATGATTGGTGCAAGGAGAGTTGGATGGTGGATTGTGCGAATGGCACTATAACAAAGTTTAATTTTGGACACCGACTTACGTACTGTGCGTAAATTTTGAGCGTAATCTTGAATACATTGTTTCCGCCTCCAGAAAGAGGTGGGCACCTAACTTGTAGATTGGCAAAGCGCACGACGCCGCTTTTGCCGCACTCGGTCCAGCATGAGGCCCTGCCAAGCCTACCGCGTGATGCTCAACAAACCATGTCCACGTCTCTCGGCAACGGGAAAAGGGTTGCCTAAATAGCGGAGGCTGTCGCCTAAAGTCATGAGAAGGAACAAAAAATGCCTGATAGTGGCAGACCAGGGTCGGCGACAGCTAGAACTGTATTGAGTAAGCTTGCGATGCGCAACAAGGCGAAGTCGTTCTGGTGGTTGGCACAGCTTCTGCTTCGTGAGGTCGCAGGTTCGCATGTCAATGTCGCCTATTGCGAAACATCCAAGCCATTACTCACCAGAGAGGTAGATGGCCTATCGGGCATATGGTTCCATGGTATTTGCCTGATGGCTGCCGGCCACAATCGGCGCTGTCAGGCATCAATTCGTCTGACGCCTGATAAAAAAAAGTCGTTCATACTGCCATCCATCAAGTTACTCTGCGTCTTAGCTTAGTAGATACACACCTTAGCCATATTACCTTAAGGGTCTCAGTTCAAAAGGTTAAAAGGGTGTCGAGACATGTCTATGCTAGAAGGTCTGATGATAGGTACAGTACTTGGTATATAATGGTCAACATAAACAGTTACATCGCATTATATGTATGGAATTTTCTACAACGATTGTTCTATATATATTATCACTATACATCTCAGTCTCAAATATTGATAGCTAATTTCTCTATAATTCGTTTATTGGACAGAACAGTACCTACTCTTTGGTTGTAGCATCTCGAGTTTGGATTTATACAGCCATGGATAATTACTTTGAGGAGCGGCAGCACCATGAGTGCGACTTTTTTTTTTTAAAAAAAAAAAAGAGAGAAAAGAAGAAAAAAACATCTCAAGCATCTCAAACATGTCCAAATAGATTAACCGTCTAATGAAGTTACATTTACTCAATGCGCCGCTCGCTTCTCAACCACCTTTGCTTTATCAGCAGTCGCGGTCAAAGTATTTCCAGCCAGCAGAGTCGGGCCTACCACGACAAATGCCAAGATTCTCCCTGTAAAGATAGCATCCGGCATTGTCATTCAGGGCAACGACATACGACTTGCACTCGGACGACGACTTGCATTCCGCCGCACACTGCGCGGGAGTGCTGGCGCGTGCGACGTAGCGAATCTGTTCCGCCTGACCAGTGCACGGGCTCGCGCCGCGCCTCAAGTCGCACATTTTCGCGTGCGATCCCGGCGGGTAGCAGTCGCGGTCAGAATACGTCCAGGTGCTGTAGCCGGGCGCTCCCGCGCAAGTCGCGACATCCCCGCGCAAAAGGTAGCATCCGCCGTCGTATTGCGTCGCCGCGACGGACGACTTGCAGTCCGGCTCGGACCGGCAGAGGTTGGCACACTTTTCGGGAGTAAAGTAACCGGCTTGCCACCGAATCATGTGCGTACTGACGCAGTTGGTGTTACCCCTGAGCAAGCCACAGGTGGTGGCTTTACACTCGTTGGAAGTCGGGATACAACTGCCGTGGCAATCCTTCTGGCCCTCTGGACAGCAGAGTGCACCGGATTTTATGCACTTGCCCTTGCACACCTTGTTGCCGCTCTCGCACTGTCCGTTGCACGGGACGTCGTCGTTGATGCATTTCTTGTCGCACGCCCTCTTGCCCTGCCCACACTGGCCCTCGCATGGAGCATCATTGCTGATGCATTTCCCGTTGCATGCCTTCAGGCCATTCTCACATTGGCCGTTGCAAGGCAAGTCTGCGTTGATGCATCTATCGTTGCACCGTCTCTTGCCCCAAACGCATTGGCCGTTGCAAGGGAAATCGGTGCCAAGGCACTTGCCGTTGCACTTTTCGTAGCCGTCTTGGCAGCGCCCATCACAGGGTTCATCGTCGTTGATGCAATGATGCTTGCACAGCTTCTGGCCGTTGCGGCAAGCACAGCTAGCTTCACTGCGGATGCATCTTCCGTCACTGCATCTTTTGTAGTTTGGGTTGCCTGGATAGGTGAAACGAGCTGGCCCACCAAGCGGATTGGCCCGATCGCCCTTTTTGAAAAAGTATGCTTCGTACTCTCCCGCCGGTGTGCATGGATCAAAGTCGTTGTCTGCCGTCACCGATCCGCTTGCATCAGGAGCAACTGCCCAACCTGTGTAGGTTCGGTCTCCTTCTCGGCCAGGCCCGGTGCCTTGGGGGAAGAAGCCAATCCAATTGTCGCTGTTGACGACCGAGGTCGTGTAATAGAACTCGGGAGGAGATGAGGAAGCTTCATAGGACAAGAAAGCCGAGGGTCGCCTAGAGAACAAAACAAATTGAGACCAGCCAAAGGCAGTCTGTAGCAGGAATCCCGCTAGCAGCATAGCTGTTGCTATTATTGATCGCATGTCGAGCGGTAGTAGCAGTCAGTCTTTTATACTCTCCGACAGAGGTTATAATGGATAGATGTGACGAGGTTTTGCGTTCAAGCATGGTATCGCAGCCGATTCATCTCGGCGATGGAACACCTATATATACTAAATGGCCGTATATTAGGTACGGTAATAACTACGCCATGACTGCGTAAATAGATGGCCATGACTTCAATGGCTGAATACACCTGTCTGAGACATACATCTATTTTGCGTCTCTGCGGCTCCACCAACACGCATATCTTGACCATGTCATTATGCGAGTATTAGGCTCCTACGCTCGCTCGCTGGCTCCTTGCTGCTACTAGTATGCTGCTGAAGAATTAGGGCTTGGAGATGTTGGGTAGCTGAGTCAAACTCGGCACCCGGGAGTCGAGTGAGGGTGCTGTGATTCAATAACATGCAGAGGATCAGCGCTTTCAATGCATAGGGCGTCACGGCCAGCCAGCCACGACCCAAACAGCTTCAGCCAGGCAAGTTTGGCCAGGTAGCTTCAGCCATTGTCTGGGGTGATGGAAGATGGTGCCGAGGCTGGCAGCAGCGCGTGTCCGCCTCTGGGATGTGTGACCTTGAGAAAGCTCGTAGACTTGACCAGCTTCCTTGTACGGATACAGGAGTCGACTTCCGCGGCACTGATCAAGGATTGGTCCAGGGTAAATAACCCTTGAATGGCTGACATGGTCGCGGGAATAACGCTGGGACAAAGTAATTAATACCTATATTGTCGCACTTTATGTTCAAGGACACGCCGAAAGCGTGGCTGGCTGAACACACTAAAAAGAAAAAAATTACCGTTACACTATGGAGTGTAGTGGCAGTCATTCTAAAAGATGACGTTTAAGCTGCAGATTGTAACGGCTCTCGCCCCGGATTATCACCGCCCAATGTGTAGGCGATTGGCTGAGGCTACAAATATACGGTTGATCCACGCATAAGACATGGCGTGCAGGGGTGGGCTACGCTATCGACGGCCGCTAAAAGCTGAACACACAAAGAGAATGGCACCAAATTGAGATTTGCATTGTGACAAGATGGGTGACGGAATGACCTTGCTTAGCTAGCTATACATCTACCCTATACAATTCCAACAATCGATTTACAGTGTGAATGCATCGAGATTGATTGAGCATGCTTAGAGTGGTACAAATATCGTAAGACAGATTTTCCATTTCCGTAATAGACCATCTTGTGTCATTGCATTACCATTGATGAGATGATACATGGACAGAGGGCTTTATCTCATCCAATTTCAACACTTCGATACTCTATGCGCATGTCAAGGACAAATAAAGGCGCAGCACCTATTCGCGGTTACCGTGTACTTGAACCCCGTTTTCCTCTAATGGGCACCTCCCTCCAACAACGGTGAAGCCTCGCTCTGTGCATGGCCTTGCGACCGAGGCGCAGCCTTTTTTGCCCTCATAAAAGGGAACCGTCCGTTCCTCTCATGATATCGCACTGTGGCGAGACCAGCCATGACAAAAACCCAGTACACATTGTATGCAATGACTGAGCCGTAGGTGGCCGAGTTGGTCCATCCCACGACGGCGTTGAGGACCGCCCAGATGCCACCACCATCCACCTCGGGACTGCAGCACTACAAAATTTGAGTCAGCCCGAGATTTGAAAGTACCCAGAAGAAGAAGAAGTAGAGATGGTACTCACATTTACATGCCACACGCTGCGGTCAATATCATAAGATCCGGGCCCATCACCCAGCTCAGCAGCGTCGCCGCCAACAATCATGTTCCAGTCCTGGGTTTCAAAGTACCAAACGGCACGAGAGAACAGTCCCGCCGCGACTAGGTAAAGAAAGCATGTCGATATGACCAGGAAAAGTCTCATCTGCATAAAGACACCGCACGTGAAAATGGCGTAGCCAACGGCAACACCAAACGCCAGGCCAGCGAGCGCAGAAAAGGGAATAGCCGCGGGCGGCGCCGAGAACGAGACACCCGCCACAAAGACAATGGCCTCGATGCCCTCACGCAGGATCGTGATGAATGGTAGAAAGAATAGCGCGTACTTTTCCGCCAGGCGCTTAAGCCAGCCCTGGCGGGTGTCGGCCTTTACCGGTGCCTGCAGCGCCTTGGCGAGCTTGTTGCGCCACTTGTCCTGCATCTGGCCGACGCGGAGCAGGGCGACGCCCATGACGGAGATGACGATGCTGGCAAAGAGCGAAAAGGCGCCCTCGTAGTAGTACTCGTGGGCGGCCCATGCGTCGCGGCCGTAGAGGTAGAAGATGCTGATGATGGTGCCGGCGATGAAGAGGCATATCAGGAAGCCGACGGCGGTGCCGAGCCAGACCTAGAAATCAAAAAAAAAGGAAAGAAAAAAAGTAAGTGATGAAATTGGATGACATGAATGACAAAGGGAAGGGGGGTGTAGAGCAAAATATTAATTCGTACCTGTCTGCAGAGAGATTTGTAAATCTTGGCATCTTGATCCGGTCTACCTAGGGTTTGCTTCAAGAATGCCAGCAACACCGAGACGATAATGGCCGTCTCTAGTGTCTCGCGAAAGATGACTAGAAACACCGGGGCCGAGATGAAATTCCACGCCATAATTAAACTTATTTAGCGACCGGGGAAAAAGACAGGAAGAAAGAGAGAGAGAGACGATTAGATGACCTCGCTCGCTCACCACCAGACATGGAACCAGCGAGATGAGAATAAGACTGGAGCAGATCAAGGTTCAATTGAGGAATTGAGGAATATAATTGTGACAATCCCGCTGGCGACTACGGAAAAGGGAGCCCGTCTTCCTTGACATTATAATCGGAGGTCCGCCTCGCTTGCCGAAAGTTCCCACGCGTGATTTTCCACTAAAAAGACCCCCCATAAACAGTCCTTGCTTGACCAGTAAAATAGGCCATCAGGAGCCACGATAGCAGGGCCCAATTTGAACCGTCGATTCTATTGATTTAATAAATCTCCATGGAGACCGGTCAAATTCGTGGCGTTGAAAATGGCGCGGAGCCGAGTCTGCAGCCGGCGGCTTCGCTTTGTTTTATTTGACTTTAGCTGCCGGGATCATTCCCCTTCTCTTCTGCCTCTCCTTGCCTGTCAATCGGTGCGGCTCGTTTGTTGATTTTGTTGCTCAGCGTTCCTGAAGCTGCGACCGCCATGACTTTGCTTCAGCGGCTCTCTTTCGGGCTGCTGGTGCGCAGCCAGCTTTGGTGTCTGCTGGCCCAGGCTGCCGTCGTCTTGCATGATTTCAATATCGGCTGGGTCACGGTCAATCCGGACGGCGCATTTGACCGTACCGCCATTGGCATCAACGGCCAGTGGCCCATTCCTCGCATCGATGCAAACGTCGGCGACACAGTCATTATCAATGTCCACAATCAGCTTGGGAATCAGTCAACCTCGTTACATTTTCATGGTCTCTTGATGAATGGCACCGTTCACATGGATGGCCCCTCTCAAGTCACTCAATGCCCTATTCCTCCCGGGGGGTCATTTACCTACAACTTTACTGTAAGTTATCTTGCCACTCTAGTGCCTCTATTCACTCGCCATCGAAATTGTTGACAAAATCATATAGATTGATCAACCGGGCACCTACTGGTATCACTCCCATACTCATAGTCAGTACCCCGATGGTCTTCGAGGCCCACTCATCATCCATGATCCCGATTCGCCTTACGGTGGCGAGTACGACGATGAGATTGTCTTGACCCTTTCGGACTGGTACCATGACCAAATGGCCCATCTCATTCCCCAGTTCATGAGCAAAGGCAACCCCACTGGTGCCGAGCCTGTCCCTCAGGCCGCCCTCATGAATGACACGCAAAATCTCCACGTCTTTGTCAAGCCAAAGACGACCTACCTGCTCCGTCTGATCAACATTGGTGCTTTTGCTGGCCAGTACTTTTGGATTGAAGGTCACTCCATGACGGTTGTCGAGGTGGACGGTGTCTATACCAAGCCCTACGAAACGCACATGGTATACCTGTCTGCCGCTCAACGATACAGTGTCTTGGTAACTACCAAGGACGACGCCGGCAGCAATTTCGCCATTGTTGGAAGCATGGATACTGTAGGTTAGAACTCGCAGTATTGAGAGGTGCACGGCTAACACGAGTAGTCTCTTTTCGATCTTCTCCCTGCTGACTTGGACTGGAACGTGACGAGTTGGCTCGTCTATGATGGATCGAAGGAACTTCCTAAGCCACTCCCAGTATCCGAATTTGAGCCTATCGACGACATGAAATTGTTTCCCCATGATGGTATGCAGCTTCTCCCAGACCCTCAGCGAACCGTCAAGTTGGAGGTCAAGATGGACAACCTCAGAGACGGCGCCAACTACGCCTTCTTCAACAACAACACGTATCGCGAGCCCAAGGTCCCCAGTCTTTACACTGCCCTGACAGCTGGCCAACTTGCGACGAATCCCAAGGTCTACGGGGACTACACCAATTCGTTTGTCCTAGAAAAGGATCAAGTCGTGCAAATCGTCATTAACAATTTCGACGATGGTCGGCATCCCTTTCATCTTCATGGCCACCAGTTCCAGGTCATTCACCGCAGCGATGAAGACGGAGGTGAGTTTATCGAGTCAGCCCAAATGCAACCCGCATTCCCATCAACGCCTATGCGCCGCGATACTGTGGTCGTCGAGGGCAATGGCAATGCCGTACTCCGCCTCAAGGCAGATAACCCAGGCGTCTGGCTATTTCATTGCCACATTGAATGGCACATTGTTTCAGGCTTGCTGGCTACATTTGTAGAGGCTCCGCTAGAGCTTCAAAAGACCATCTCGCTGCCTGCGAGTCACTTGGATAATTGCAAGGCTGCGGGGCTGCCATTCAACGGTAATGCTGCTGGCAACACGGACGATTTCTTGGATCTCACTGGGCAAAACGCGCCTCCAGGCCCTCTTCCCGACGGGTAAGTCTTCTTTTTCCCGTTCCTCGCGAATGCGCCCCCGTTTTTTTTTTTTTGGGAACAACTTGAGCTAATAAGGGTGTCTAGATTCACCGCAAAGGGCATTGTAGCATTTTTGATTAGCTGTATAGTAGGAGTTGCAGGTCTCTTGTTTGTTGCTTGGTTTGGTCTCAGCCCGAGGGAGGTGTCTGAAAGCGCCAGAGACGAACTGTTGGCAGATGGGGAGGATGATGATGGGGCTTCTGCTGTCGAGGGTGCGAGTGTTGGGGACTCGGAAGATGATGAAGAGCAGCGTAGATCAACGGATCATCTTCTAGGAGGCTCATCTAGGGGTGGAAGGGCTTGATTGCCGAGAAGAGAATATCATGTTGCTTATATAAAAAAGGTTCAAGTCAGCCTGAAATTTTATTGGCCAACTATTTTTGATGACTCTTTCATTAATAACTATCAGGAAGGAGAACCAAAACAGCAATACGAGCAGACGAGGACAGAAAAGAAAACTCGAGCCTCATTTGAGGAGATGGCGCAAAAGAACATCTTTATACCCTCCAAGCACGGTAAAGACGCCGAAAACGGAAGCGCTTTTGACAGCCCCGAGCAGTGCAGCTGTGCCCAAAGTAATGAGGCCGACACGGATGGCCAAGCAGGTCAGGACAGCCTCAATGGTGCCGTTGCGGAACTCGAGAACCTCGCTGCGCTCATTGATGTGAGGAAAGGGGGCATCGGGCACAGGTACGTCTAGGAACTTGCAGAGCGGCTCCCAACCCTGCTCCAGCCGAAAGTCGAGCAGGTTCTCGGCCGGGACGATGGCGCGCATCTTGGCGTAGTGCGCCGCGTGCAGGTCGCGGAGGCGCTTCCTGGCCTGGGCGGCGGTACGGGCACCGATCCAGCCGGTGTAGACGTCGCTGATGCCAACGACGAACGGCATGCCGACCCAAGCGGCCAGCCGGAAGCAGACGAAGTCCCAGACGCCGTAGAGCCACGAATCGGTAAAGACGGCGGCGTAGCTCCGTTGCCACGCGTCAACGGGGCGCTCCACGAGGACGACTTTGGCCTCGGGGTAGGCGCGGTAGATTTCGGGCGCAAAGTAGGCGGCAACGTCGGTGACGGCGCGGTACGGCCCGACGAGGCGGTCCCAGTCGCCGCGCGACCACGGCAGCAGCGGGTCGTAGGGCGACAGGTAAAAGGCCCGCAAGAGGCGGCGCTCGCGCAGGTAAGGGAAATGGCACCACGCGGCCCGGCCCCAGGCGTACAGCTGCGGCCAGTCGTTGAGCTGCATGACGTGGTGCACGGGCGCGACGCCCAGCATCTCGAGGGCTCTGCTCAGCGAGGCGGTGCCGCTCCGGGGGAGCCCGGCGCAGAGGATGCCGTGGCCCGAGGCAAAGGTTTTGGGCGGGCTCGGTGGAATGGTTGTCTTTTCCATTGTGAAGAGGAGGAGGAGGAGGAGGAGGAGGAGGAAGATGCGGGGAGTTGGAAAAGGTGTGAGAAAGATGCTGGCTTTGAGCAGTTGTGTCGATGTGGAGTATAAGTCGAAGATGAAGCTATGTACAAGATGACGATGCAAGTAGATCAAACCTGCAGTGCTGCGTTGCTGAATATCACAAAATAGCAATCGCCAGTGAAACGAGAGCCGTAGCATATATTTATATCCTACTCCCCGAATTCTTCAGTTCAACAGCTCAGACGCCGTTATCCGATCCGCTCGCTGCAACACTCCCCGATTTGCCCTTTTTAGGAAGCCATTCTGACCGGCCTGCTTACATCTATCTCTCGACGCTAACCAGTTGACATGACGCCCGTTTTTTTTTTCCACAATGGATACAACCTCCACACACCCGGGTCCTCTCTGATCAAGGCCTGTCGCTGGCGCGTCGTATACGTCGGGCGGTCGCGCGAACCACCCGATGGCCCTGACACACATGGTTAGTTACATGGTTGACCAACTGCCGTACGAACCCCCATCTCTCTATCTTCTTCTCCCCCCCCNCCNCACAC